CCCCCTACCTGGGGATGGGGGAGGGAATTGGAGGGTTAAAGGGGGACTCATAGGTTGAGATAGAAACAGTTTAATAATGGTAATAAAATGAAAACAATTACAGTAATAGAAAATATAAATGGGCAATGCACAATGCAATTGCTCACCACCCGCTGACCAATACCCAGCCTGTTCCCAGCTAGAGATCCCGAAATACCAAGATCCCGCAATCGTAATCCCGGAAGCAAGAGAGAGAAAGATCCCCTTCCTGACCACCCCTCCTCTATACAGAGACCATGACGGTACATGATATGGAATATTTATTTCATTGGCCAATTTGGCTCTGGTGCTCTGGTCGTGCTCCCTCCCTGCTTCTTGTGCACGGGCAGGACATGGGGAGTTGGAGAGTCCTTGAAATCTCAGCAACAGCCAAAAACATCAGTGTGCTATCAGCATTCTTCTCATACCAAACCCAACGCTGAATCCAAAATACAGCACTATTCTAGTTACCAAAAAGAAACATTAACTATATTCCAGCCCAAATCAGGACAGTGGTCTTCATCTGGCCTATTCCAACATGTATATGTAAAAACAAAGTAAAAACAAAAGCAAAACCCCATGCAAACTCAACATCCATATTTAACTTAAGTGCTAGTGATTTGTTTTGTAGTTTTAAACTACCTTAGAAGCCTATCTTTGTATAATCTCACATGATAAATAATACAGAATCTTTTTGGCATGACTAGTATTCTGACATTTTAACAGAGGTCTGGTTTTTTATCACATGCATTAAAACACTTTACATAACCCCAATGATGGGTATGTTTCTTGGGTTTCTCAGTCTAGCTCTCAATTTAGGAACTAAGTATTATCTCTAACAGAAGAAGAACAGCTAAAGGCCTTAAACCTGCAAAAACTTATGTATGGGAATAGTTTCACTGAAGTCAGCTGGACTGACTAAGTGAAGCGATGTAGTGCTCAGCCAAAATCAAGACCAATTTCAGTAGGCATAGGCACTGCTTCCATTTGTGAACTGGAATCTACCCATATTTCCTGGTTTTGGACATAAAAAACCTGACCTTTTTGGAGGCAGTTGAGCTTTGCCTGCTCTGTAGACATCACTTATCCTTCCTCTTTGCAATTGCACACAAAGGACAAAACATAATGCAAAACATTGGAAAAGTGAATGAAGAAAGCAGATAGACTTTTACCATTTGAGGCTGATATATTGCACACTCTGAAAGTATCCAAAGCTCCTCTGCAAGGAAAAGGCTGGTGGAAAAACTTGGAAATAATTAAACACTGACATAGTGTTACTGTCAGCAGAACAGAAACATCTAAGTGCATTTCACATTGGGGATTTATTAATGTTGTTACCTAAATAAGAAATATAGCAAATAGTACAGAACCACAGGTCCTTCACCCGAACCCCCTGGGCAGTCAGTGAAAGGTCAGTGGTCAGACAAAGGGATTTCCTGAACACGTGTTTAAAACATGCAAGCATGAGCCAAAATAAGCAACCTGTATGATGTATTTACATATAAGTAAATCGATGCAAAAAAAAAAAAAAAAAAAAAAAAAGCGCCACAGTTCACTCAATTTGCTTAAATATTGGCTTAATATTACTTCCCATGTAAGTATGAAGATCACCCTAGAAATCTGTTAGAGAAGCCTGGGCTCCATGTTTGTGACTAATATGTAAAAATACAGAGTCATTCTTATAGAATCCAGATGAATCAGATCTGTGCTTACAAACTGATTCGGATTCTGATTTTGTTCTTCTTCCTCAAAAGTTATGAGGCTTTTTTAGGGTCCCCAGGTTGAAGTACACAGTGACCAGCCCACTCTGGTGCCATCCCAGCTGGCTCATCACGCCATTCCTGCTGATGCATCAAGGGAGTGTTAACAAGTTTGATACAAACACCTAGACACTCATTAACATTGGTAGTTCTCACCTACAAGCTAAAGAACAGAAACTGGATGGAAACTAGCAGAGTAACAGCACATTCAAACACGCAGAATAAAGAACCTCTAAGTCATCTCACTCTACTATGCACGAACAATGCTGAGAACAAGTCTGTTTGGTTACAAACAGCGTGTGCAAAAACTACCAGAGTATTTGCTGTTCATTCTTCTTCATTTCAGGCACTATTCTCTTAAGGCACAAAAAAGCTGCAAGTGGAGGAAGTGGGACCCTGCCAGGGAAGCCAGAGGTGTCCAGTGAGCACTATCCCAAGAGCCAAATCCAGGGAGAGTCTGTGGGGTCAACGCGCAGGGAGGACACGGACATGCCCCTCCCTTACGCAGCACCTGGAGCAGCGGCAGGACCCCCAGCCAACCCCTTCCTCCAGAGCAGAGTTTGGTCCCCTGGTGACAGTGTTCCATCTGCAGGATTTATTTGACATCAAACTGCTGGGGTTTCTTGATATTAAAATTTCACAGGTGCGTGGACTCTGCACCTCACCTCTGGCTCAAAATCAGTGCTAGAAAGGTACATGAGTTTGTATCCGCTACAAAAGACAGAGGAATAGAAACATCCTCGTGAGATTTTTATTTTCAAATGTCTTGTTTCCTGCTGGATCCAAACCGCCGCTGGTCGAGGAGCAGCAGGGAACCTGACTGACATTCACTGCAGCTTCTCTTCCCCAAATCTTCCTTAATTTGCACTTTTCAATTGTCTTAAACTCTAGTTCTTTTTGTTTTCCTTCAGACAACGCCAATCTCTGGGAGCTTAATCCCAATATACTCCTAATTTTTAACAAACATATTGGAACTTGCAATTGAGGTTTGCTTACATTTGTCACATACTAAATACAATCTATGTTGCATTTTAACAGTAAAAACTACTCAAAGAAAGATTACTCCAGGTAACTTATAACCAAAGATGGTCATCCTGGACAATCAGACATGTATTGCTTTTGGGGCTACTGTTAGCTGTGATTTGGCTACAGATCTGAGTCCTGACAACCTGACCTTCCAAATATGCCTGTGAATATCACTGCTGTGTGAGCCCCAAAAAAATGCCCGGAGATATGGCTGCTAGGCTGGGACTTGTATTAGTGGGTTTTAGGACTCTTGTCTTTACATCTGAGGATGGATTCTGCTTTTGTTTACAGTAACACAAATTTGGAATAATTTCACTGAACCTCATTCACAAGTCTAATTGGGCAGGACCTGGCCTTTGATTTTTAAAGATGTCCAGGAAAACCTTCTGTCCCTCTGCTGTGTTGCTAATTACATGGAGAACAGCACAGAGCACTTGCTACAACTTTCACTTGAAAAAGCCAGACTTTATGTACCACAAGGAAGTAAGAAGAAGTGACAGGTGGCCTCAGTACTGATGGATGACAAAAGCCTTGTCCATCAGACACCTAGCCAACATGCTCTGGAAATATAACGGAAAAAAAAAAAAAAAAAAATAGAAAGAACAGCTTCATTTACCTTACTGATGGACTACTGAAGATCTGGAGACAAGGAAAAAAAGTAACTTTGAGAGGCATCTTTTTGGCTCTATACGAATGAAAACCCGGGGGGGTGAGGATGTAGGCTGGGCTATAAGGCTCGCCGGGAGCTGCCGAGCCCCAACTGCGACGCCTCGATTTTCATCCGGTTAACGGGTTTTTCCCCCCACTCGCGGCGGTGCAGCGGCCCGGCGCCCCCTCCCCTCGCGGCGACAGGGGCGGCCCCGGCCCCGCCAAAACAGCGCCCGCGGGTAAAAGGCGATCGCCGCCCCGCGCAGGCACCGCTGGGATTCGAACCCAGGATCTCCTGTTTACTAGACAGGCGCTTTAACCAACTAAGCCACGGCGCCGGGCGATGGGCTCAGCCTCCGCGCAGCCCCAATAGAGCGGCCCCGCTCCCGCCCGCGGAGCCCCGGCCCCCCGGGCAGCGCCGCCGCCGTGACCCGGGCCCGGCCCCGCTCCCGCCGCGGGACGGACGCGCAGCTGCAGCCCGGGGGTCTGCGGGCGGGGAACCGCGCCTCGTGCCGCAGCCGGGAGGGTCCGACGGCTCAGTGCGGGGCTGCGGAGCGCACACGCTCGTTAGCATTTGTTTTGGCACAAAACATGGAGAGGCCAAAGGAAAACACGTAAATGTCGGCATTTTAAAAAACAAAATATTTAGCCGAGATTGCTTACGGTTAGGCTCTGGTCCTGTGTTATCCCACAGCATCTCGCTTGCCCAAGGCTCACAGCAGAAGATACTGCAGGGAGATGGGGCCTCAATTACGTGCTACCACCATCTATAATGATGCAAAAATTGAGCCACAATGTGCATATGCACACACTGCTTATGTGCTTTATGATCAGCGCACACACAAGTGCCTGACCAAACATGCACATGTTCATACAAGCTAAATAACTAGAAAAAGTGATTTGGGTAGTTTCCTACAGAGCTACACAGAATTATTCACACAGACCTGATGCTGCCACCAGCAAAACGCCGTCCGTCAGGGCCCCTGGCCCGCTACCTGCGCAGGGCAGCAGCCGAGGATGTGCCACGCCGAGGAACGGAGCCACGAGCGAACACGGAGCCTGGCCCCCAGCCCAAGGTTTGCAGGGAAGGACCTGATGGCAGGCCTGGAGTGTAAGTAGAATTTGCAAAGCATAGAGATTGCTTTGGCAATTTAACAAGCAGGCACCTAAGACATATTTACAGCCAAATTGTAAATGTTATTCTTCAAATCACTCCTACAGAAGGGCAGCCACACTGACTTGGTCTAAAACAGATTTATAGCTTTCCCACCAGGTTAGAATGGGGAATGAGTGAATTAGTCAAACTACGGGGGTACAAAAGCCAGAAAAAAATGCAGATAAATCTCCATCTTATGAATTGTCTGCAGTTATCCCATTCTCCGCAAAAACCTTGCTTGCATACAATGATGAGCCTGCTTCTGCAGGTGAGATCAGTTCAGGGCTGAAGACAAGCTCACTCACATGGTACCCAAGCACTAAACAGGTGATGGTAATGGACAGAAAACAGCAATAAGTAATAAAACTAACTGATTTTATTAAAACCTGAATGTAAGAATTAATTTTTCCTTGGTTTTCTCAATTTGGGAAATAGAGCATTCATTCAAAAGAGAATTTCCAACCCATTCACACTACTAATGCAAAATGAACCAAGCCTCTATAGAGCAACAGCTTTTTTTCCTGTTTCAGCAGAAACAATTGGAGCTTTGGTTTTTCCAGCTGAGAAGGATAAAGAAAGAAACAAAGAGCACTGTCAATTCTAATACAATATTAATTATTCTAGGACTAATCTTTTCTAACATACAGAAATTAGATCAGCATTACTAACTACATTAAAGCCAAATTAATTCAACTATAAAACATGCATATTTTATGTGATGTTTAAAAAAAAAAAAAAAAAAAACAACATGAAGAGCACAGACGCAGCATTTTCTTTTAGCTCCTGTAACAAAACACTAATATTTAATTAAGGAGTAAAGAGGGGGAAAGAATGCTAGAAAATAATACAATTTATCACCTATTACTTATTCAAAATCTGTAAAAAACATACTATTTTCTAGAAATATTTTTCATTTAACCTTGCATTCAAGTGTAATTGTTGCTACACACTTCACATAATTTAAGTAAGGGAAAAAAAATCCACCTATTTAGATTTCTTTGTATTCTACAGTTTGACTGCATTTCAGGCTGTCACATGCCCTGTTCCACCTATTCTCCCCACTTCAAGTTCCTTTTAGAAAGAAATGTTGAAAAGGTTGAAAACACTATTTGTAAAAATAAAGCTTCTAAACATTCTGAAACACTTAATCTTTTATTGACATTCTTACATACACTGAATGGATATAATCCTCTCAGGGTTGCTCCCAAGAAAGGGTGGAAAAAATACCATGCTCCTTGCAGGAGAGAGCCTTTATTACACAGAACCAATTTGTGCTGCATCATGTCAGACATGAACCACAACTTACTGTCAATGCCTGAAAGTTCCTTTACAAAATTTTTGTAAGGGGTATGGCAACAAGTTAGAAAAAAGTTCATGGTCTCATTCAGAAAACTTTCTGATGTCCACTGACAGCAACAATTCTTTGCTTGCCACAGTAAAGAAGAATGGCTTATCTAAAGAATGGAAGGAAACCTGTCAGTAATTTACACATCCACATATTTTCTTTAGTAGATTGAACTTGGAACCAGTGTATTCGGTTTAAAATGTTTAAAATTTCCCAAAGACAAGTAAGTAATTTTATTCTCCAGTACCGTGCAGCATAAATAAGGTTTCTACTCCTGGAGATTTTATTATTTACCTAGTACATAACAGCTGTTTAATGGATTAGTACAATGTATTTTATTTTTCTTCATACAGAATACTGCAGTAGAGCAAGGTTAGATTAAAGTCTTAGCTTTATATCTGTATTGCATAAAGATGTACAGACACTCTATTTATACTTAAATGTGTTAACATCCCAAGACAGCTAGATTAATTTAAAGGTCAGGAGGATCAGGAGGTGGCAATGGCAAAATTTTTCTCACTGGAGAAGACAGACGACAGAATACACACTTGGGTATCACTTCAGAGTTGCTACACTGCAGGCGTAAGAAAGGTTTTTCACATTCTTCACACTGGTGTAAATACAACAAAAATGACATTTCAGTTAATCATCTGTGACAGATGTGCATTATTTCACTCATGAAGGTACAGCTCTATATACACAAATATATCTAGGTCTGATTCTTGAGATGCACTGAGTGCATATAGCTGTCGCAAACTTGATACAGATAGTACTGCTCAAAATTCATTCCTGTGATGAATGGTTTGGAGTTTTTTTCCTGAATAAAATTGTATTTTATGTGAACTCTTATTTTTTTTTCAACTAATACAGTACCATACTTTACTTTTTGGGTGGCTTGATGGGTGTCCAGTTTTTAGTTGTTTTGTCCTGGTGATAATCACTATGTGATTTGTGGCTTTTTCTGTTTACTTTTACCTGACCATTATCTGACTAAAGGACAAATGTAGAAAAAAAAAATTTAAAAAGGAAAATTGATACATAAATAATTTTAGATTCAATATTAACCCACAGTAGTCAGTACAAAGAAGTTCTCCTGCTGACTACACACATAATCATGAAGTTTAATCCACTTCTATCAGAGTCAACATAACATTGATTCCCAATTCGCTACTTGTGAAACTATTTACAAAAAATTTTATACATTTTTCTAATTGTTTGGTATGCTTTAAGTATTGCTAAAATCCACCAAAAAAAATCTCTTCCTGTGCCAATTTTAACCATATTTTCAAATTTCTGTTAATTGATACTTTTAAGAAGGTACAAATTTTTACTGCTGGCACACTTATAAAGCTTATTTAAAAGCTTAAAAAGCTGCACACTGCTTTTGAATACTTGCTATTCAACAAGGAAGTCTGATAAAAATATTATAGAAATAATCTAAACAGTTCTTTTCCATGCAGTTTCACTTAATGGCTATTGACGAGGAGAAAAATATACACAAGATCTTGCAAATCCACTACCAAAAGGAATTGAAGAACTGTAATAAAAAGCATGTTTGTTTCGATAGCATTAATCTGATTAACGTTCTTCTTTCTTAACAAGAAATAATCTGTGTTTTAGAATCTGTGTTTTAGAAGTCAGAATACATACAGTCTCATCGTTGAAAAGACACTCCTCAGAACCGGTATAAGCTGATTTATGTCCAGGAGCACATAAATATTACCTGCCTTGGTTTAATAATACTCCTATATAAGCAGCCAATTACTCTGCAGAAGCATCAGGTGTAGAAAACCAAAATATGTTTATTTTTAGAAGTACACATAGGAGGCTCTGTTTTCTAAAAACAAAAATGCACCTGTATATGAAAACTGGTGTCAATCAAAATCAATTTTAAAAAGACCTGTTATTACTACATCCCACTCACAAAAAAAACATTTTGACAATCTTTGCAAATAGAGAACAAACACAATTAGTTTGTGGTTTTAGCCTACAAATCTGACAGCTTTCTTTTACCATTCAAATTTTCTTTCTGATTAAAGTATGAGGTGTGGTTAAAAAACAAAGTGATAGAACCTGAGCAATTTTTGAGCCTCTTGCTTTTCTGCTTTCTATCACTGAAGAAATATGATCCATTTTTTCAATATTCCACAATCTCAAAGTACAATCCTGAGAAAAAGATACAATTAATTTGATGTATTTGCATATTAGCAAAATAGTGATTTACATCATTTCCCTAAGGATGAAATCTCATCTCACTGGATGAACCCTCTGAAATTGAGAGCTAAACTCTCTCACATTTAAATATCATGTCTTTGGAAACAATCTTTAGCAGTCTTAAAACTGCCTGCACATTTTTAAATAACCAAAAATAAACATACTTATAAAATTCTTTTAAAGATTTTCTGTACTTATTTGTGGTAAATACCAACTACAACTCAGCACTTTTATGAACAACTACACCATTGTTAAATTTAATCCAAAAAAAAAGCTGAAAACAAGGAATGAAATCTTTACATCCACTTATAAGTTAGCTCCTGAAACCACATCAGAAATTAGTGATTACCTTTGAAGCTGAAAGAATCCATTTCTTGGTTTTGCTAATCGCAACATCTGTCACCCAGTCCCAGTGACCCTACAGTAAAGCAAAACAACTATAACACGAGGAAAAAAACCCTTATTATTTGTTTTATAATAATAATTAAAAAAAAAAATGTACCATCAATCCATTTTGAAATGCAGTGAGAAAATTCTTATCTAGGCTGACTCATGTCAAGAAAAAATATTATTATGAAGCTTATACTCCCCTACATATACCTGAAAACAGTGCTGTTACAATCTCTGGTAACCAGACCACCAGTTGTAGCATTCGGAAGAATGACAACTACATAGTTACCATGGGTTTAAGCTCCATTTAAGCACAGGTCTTTTCTATTTTTTGAACAATTTAATAAAGAATTGTAAAGAGAGAGTTGACTTCTAGTACTTATTACCTAAAAAAATCTTGAGGCTCTTTATCATATGATAATGGCAGGAAGAGCTGTGGGAACCTGCAGCAGCTTCCCCCTACTTAAAGGAAGGAAACCAGTTCTGAGGGCAGGCCATGTCAAAGAGCTGTGTTAGATGCCCTTGTTCTGACAACGGCAGCACAGCTGATTTGAGGGTGACAGCATTGAGTTAGCATAAGAATAGAAACAGGTTAAAATCTAAAATTAATTCTTTTTTCCAGCTAGGGAGGTTATTCAAACATCAGTATTATTAACAGATAAAATTCCTAGAGTTTAGGAAGGCATGGTGTCATTTTGATAGATAAATGCCACATCTGAGAAATACAGTAAAAAGATGAACATATATTTCTCCAGCACAGAGTAATTGTCAAACATGCATACATGAAATGTGGGGTTTATAGCAGAATCTTTAAAACATGTTTTTAAATTTAGTTATGAGCCCAGAATATAATTATACCAAAGCACAGATACTGAACTGGAATTCTCCATAGTTACAAAGATACTAGCATTTAAACAGATGCCTTCTTTTTGATGCGAAGCAGAGTGAGTTACAGTGATTGCTGTAAACTGGGAAATTTGCAGTAGCTGTATTATGTAAAGCACTGATGCTGGTGGAGAATGTGTACTGTTACGGCTCAGAAAGCTTAATCAGTACAGTTCCAGTTCCGGAGGGTACGTAAGCTTACATTTAAGGTAACAAGTGTGAGGCACAGGCTTATGAGCTCTCCTATATGAAGATGCTGTCTTGAACACAGCAGCAGTTCAATGCTACTTTTAAGCCCAAGGTTTTGAAGGAAAAGTGGTATTTTCTGAGCTCTTCTAGGTGGGTTTGTTCATGAGTGTTTTAACTATGCCTTGAATAGCATATGCAATAAGTAAAAAAAAAAAATCCATTAAAATCATAAAATTCATAAGATAGGAAACTCCATAAAATCCATGATAGGAAAGAACCAAGGCTGCAAATCCGAATTCTGACATTGCTTGACCTTTGTGAAATTAACATTTGCAAAATGCATGCACATAACTTTATGAAATCCTTTTCTTTGACCCACATCTGATCATTAGTTCAAGTCTTGTGGTTTGTTTCCACTAAAATAAGAAACGAATGAAAGGTATTAGAATACAATACGGTTTGTTTGCAAAAATAAAGTCATGATGGCACAAAAAAAACCCTAATGAGAGTTGGGACTTTTAAAAGTTTATGCAGGTAGTATTTACTGCCTCAAATTGCGGGTAGTATTACCATGGATATGGAAGAAAAGAGGGAGCCTAGATCTAAGCAGGGATAGCTAAATACTGAATAGCTACCTCATTTACAGAATTGTCCACCCTAAAATGTACTGTAACATGGTGGACCACATCCCCATCACTATAAGCAGTAATGTAAACTATATTACCTAGGGACTGAGCTAAGCTTGGCAACCTCAACACCAGTATTTACGTATTTTTTTGAATGCTCCCCTTTTAATGTACTGGGTATTGTGGACATAAGCAAGCATGTAAACATGCAGCTAAAGGAGAGTGTGGCATTTCAAAATGAATGTATGCACTGTGCAGGTTCTTGTTACTTGCTGGAAGAAATTCTCTCCTAAAACACAGGTACAACTCCATTCAATATAATCCCTACATGAGCCTGTTCATAAAAAAAGAAATGTAATAGCTTATTAACAACTGACTTGACAAAGGTAATATCTTTGTAGCTAATTGTATAAGAGTATACTGTTCTAGGAAATTAAATCACACAAATACAGAATATACTTCTGCCTCTATCTAAAAAGGATGGGCAAAGGTATTTGTCAGGTAATTAAATATACAATGCTTTTAAAACAGCAATACATTTTACACTTTCTCATCAAACTAGTGACCAAATAAGAGCTCGGTACCTTTAAGCTTAGCTTTTTATAGCCTGCATCTGTATCCCATATAGCTATAGTTTTGTCATATCCACCAGACACAACAAGTGATGCTGAAATTAAAAATCAGAATACTGTATTTTAGCTTTGCTTTGTCATACAGACTAATAAAAGAGGCTCCTTCTAACAGTGAGTCACATTTTAGTAAAAATTTAAATAATGAGCTATTAGTCATGCTTTAACAAGACAGCAGAAGTTCCTTTCGGCTGTTATTAATATTCTTAAATTTGTAAATATTAATACATAAATTTAGCAAACACACAACTGAGTGGAAAAAAAAATACATGAAAATTCTGTTGACTTAGAAAACTAAGCAGATAACTTGTTTAAAAATTAAAATATAGAGAATACTTTCAGAATTGTTAGATCAACTGTGAATAAAAACAAAAAAGTAGAGTTTAGTGTGGAAAGCATGCTTTCAGATTCCAGTATTCACAGGCCTATCTGCATCTGCATTTCTTCAAGCCACAAGTACAGAGCTGCTATTTATTTGAGTTGCCTAACTCAGAAGGCATCGTTTGGCCAGCAGTTCAGGAGTCATCTCTACTGAAGTATTCAAATGTGAAGTTGCAAAAGAAAGCAGCCAATTAGATCACAATGTACAGAAATTCATATTAGTTCATCCCAGTGAAACGAAGAGAAGCTGTTTCAGTGCAGCAGCAGTTTGCAGTAACACTAGTTTCATGTTGTGGAGGGACTAGGAGTTGTCTGTGATTTGGTGAAAGTAATGGAACCAGGGCAGTAGGAAATAGCTCCCCACTACCTCCACTCAGATACTAGTAAACTGTGGAGTCTGTTTCTTCCTCCTATTCATCCAAGCATCAAGAAGACATCAAGTTCCAGGTGCCAAATTGTCTTGCTATAACTCATAATCTACTTTGACCATGGGAGTTTATGTGCTCCATCAGCATAGCTGAGAACATCCATGAAGTTTTTCAGAAGTGCATTACTTGCATATGTTTTTTGGGCTGTGAAGTAATATGACTTTTGGGGGTATTAACAGAGATGTACAGGTTTTCATAATTATTATAGATCAGTACAGTATTTACTGAACATGTTTTTTCAACTAATGTTAGGAGATATTGCAAGTGCTAAGTTAGGAGATATTGCAAGTGCTAAGTTAATCTTCTAACACAGTATTGTGGTTTACTCCATTATGATCTTTTTATTATACCTCTTGATGGGTATATCAATTAAGCAAGTGTTCCAGTTGCCTGGTTAAGACAGAACACAGACCATCAACTTCAATTTACTCATTTACATGGACGTAATTTTCTCACAATTAAACGTATTATCTTTTAAATGATACATTAATTATCTACATGATTAGAGTGGTCACTCGTGGTTTGTCTAAGATGTCCTATAAATAGGTATTGGGATACATCGTGCACTAGTATTAAGGTAACTCACCATCTTGGCTAAAAAGACAGGAACTAACAGAACCCTCATGTCCTTGGTTCAAGGAAACAAGTTCATGACACTGAAATTCTTCTGTCTTTATATCCCATATTTTTAGGCTTTTGTCCCAGGATGCTGTGCACAAGTAATGACCGTCAGAGGTAAAGCAGCAATCTGAGATAGCATTGCTGTGTCCCCTGAAACACATATAAAAAACACAGGAAGAGTGAGTTTTTGTAACCATTACAAATCTGTCAAAGAGCCTCCTACAACATTGAGCACCCTATCTCTGTCCAGTAAAGCATCAGAAGCATATTCTGAATTTTAACCCAATGAATAGTTCTGTAAAGTCTCTGGAGCTGCTTACAACCTCACAGCCAGCATGGGTTTAAATCTCCTACTGGATTAAGTAATTTTGCAGGATTGAACCCTCGCTGTTAAGTGACAAGTGACCAGCCATTTTTTTTTTTTTTTTGGAACGCAGATTAACAAGAAATTGTTCAGCAGCTGCAACACAACCAAATTTTACTATATTTACTAAAAGTAAATTACAAAAAAAGCCACCCATTTTTCATTAAATAAATAGCGTACATCTATCTCTACATGTAAATTTCAACTCAAACATTCAGAGGAAAAAGATTAAACAATTCTATATTAAAGTCTGATTTTGGAAGCAGTGGTACCCAACAGAAAAGAAATCTGGATGTTCCAGAACTGGGTGAGGACTCTAGTGCTTCCTGAAATCTACAGTGGGGAAGAGATTATGAACATCTCTTGCAGGAAACAATGCTGTAATAACTACAATTTAAAAGAAACATTACAATGTTCCAGATTGAACTTCCCATCCAAAGTAATTCCTAATCCCTCAAAAGACAATTTTATTACAGTGTTTAAAGGCAGACTCTCTCTCTGATTATTAAGAATTCAAAGCTAAATTGGTTGAGTTTATTTAAAGCCATTGATATTTTTAATGGTTGATTTGACATCTCTATTGTTGCATACTTCCTTCTTAAAACAATAACAATATCCTAAATTGACATAATGTTTTTACTGTATTACTGACTTCAGTGAGAGATACAAGAGTTTAGCATGTGAAGGCTCAGGAGATCACACTGAACAAGGCTTCTGGCACTGGGCATGACCTTCTTCAAAAGCATATAAGGAAAAATGATCTGGAAAAACAATCTCTGTACTCAGAGCGTGGCCATAATTGGTTCATTGTGAAAACGAAAGTACATAGTAAACTGGGGTCCACAGCATCTGTCCTGAATCCAGTCCTATTTCATACTTCCATTAACAATGTAGATAATGAGATAAAGAGTACAGATACAAAATGAAGCCAAAGAGGGTCTGCAGTTATACAAGGGAGGATATTAAAATTATAAATTATCTTCAAAAATTGAATAAATTATCAAGAAAATAAAAGGGTTATAACAGTCTCTATAGGAAACAGTGCTGTCGTCACTGCAGTTTGTAGGAGTCTTACAGCGTTAATCAATTATCTGATAGGTGTGCTGCCTGATCAGGTCAATTTTGTTAAGTCTGACATTCAGTAGTAACATACAAATAATCAACTGCACAGATAAGGGGTGGGAGCAATGGACTACATCATAGTTCTGCAAAAAAAGGATGCAACAAATACTGACTCCTCTTCACCATCATGCTGCCAAAAAAATAATGTATCTCATCCCAGAATGTGTGAACAGAGGCACATACACAGAGAAGCATGTAATACTAATTAATTTCTATTTTTTTCCAGTTAGAGGAAATACTGTTTACAGTATGGGGACGTATAACTCCAGAAAAATGTGGGCCAACTGGAAAGACCTCAGAGATCAACAAGAAGAATGATCAGTAAAATAGGAAATAATAATTAAATATTAAATCAATAAGGATGGTTTAATCTACTGAAAAGATGACTCGGCAGATATAATAGAAGTTCTTGTATATATATAAAAATGTAGAAAGAAATCAGGTGAATAATCTGATCTCCATGTCTGAAGTGGGTCTAAACAGAAACATGTAATCTTAAACTGCAGCCAAAACAGTCCACTTTAGGAAAATCCTTCTAGTGATTAACACAGTGAGACAGTAGAACAGATTGTGTGGAATTCTGTGAGGTCTTCACTGGAGCTCATCAGGAGCAGAGAAGATCAACCCCTGGTTGCTCTGAGGCCCATGAATTTGATGAAGGGCTAAAGGTTATCTGGTTGCAGTGTAAAACTAATTATCACAAAATATTCTGTAAGAACTCATAATTAATTATCAATTCCCAACATCTAGATATAGTTTCTGCTTTTCCTCTGTATTATTTTTGCTTCACTCCATAAAATTTTAAAAGGCTTCACTATTCTAATATTTTATCTCCTCATTCATCAATTATACATTTTTTCTAATTATTAGAAATTAGAATAAGTTTACAGTGCAATACCAAATTGTATATGCTATCTTCTGCCTTTATATATACCCAAGAACCTAAAAGCTCTAAAAAAATAGAAATACTGACAGTCATCAAAATACAATTTTTTAGTTATTTACAGCAGGAAGCTTCAGTGGACCATTTTATTCATGCTTTCTCTATGTGTCATTTGCTTGTGGATTATTTAGTTTAACAATTATTGTTCATTTTCTCTAGTACAAATCTTAGCATAAATCTCAATGATAATTGTGAAAGATGTTGCCATGGATAATTAACTACAGTATTGTTTCTTACTCATTAATTGTAATTGAGGTGGATCGTGTTATCATATCCCATAGCTTTATGGTCTTATCATATGATACTGAAGTCACTCTTTGATTATCAGGGTCAAAACAACATCTTGTGATTGTACTTTTGTGATGACCTATACAAAAAACATCAAGTGAGCCTGTTAGTTATTTTTAATAATTCCATCTGGATCTCAGACCACAGATCTGAAAGGCAGAACTACCCACACCATCTATGTGTTGGTCTATTTCCAAACCACTGTAATTTCAGAATTGCTGTTTCACTGGCCAGGACACCTCCTCACCCACCTCACAGTGAGAGAGAGGCCTCATAGTTACTGCAGACAGTACGCAACATGAACCTGTACCCAGGCACTCAACATACACACCTAACAAGTTCACACGCTGCCCTGTAGTAACTTATTTCTCTGCTCCATTCCTGAAAATAAGTACAGAAGTATGGTCCCAATGCCAATGACAGTTAACTGCTCAGACTCTCAGGAGCAGACTTAAGCAGATAACTATACTTTAAGAATGCAAATAGCTGCATTAAAATAATGTAAACAAAATATGTCCTCATAGTGTCATCTAACAGAGATGGTTCTAATAATGTTAGATGCACTTGTTGCACTTTTTATTTTTAAATCCAAATGATTTTACCATCAGGCTCCAATTCACAGAAGCACGTTAACCATATGCTCATTTAACATTTGTAAGACTGCTCATGTATTTTGAAGCTGATTCTGCAGGAATGGCAAACTCCCTGACCTGCAGTTCTGAGTGGAAGCCTCATGGGACTGAGGTGTCACTAGCGAAATTACCTTCAAAGGGAAATTACCGTTCAAAAAAGAATCACTGTTGGCCTAATTTTAGCCCATTATCTCCTTTTTATAGTCCATATTCTGGAAAATACTGCATTTAATGTCTTACAGGTAAATTTCTTTTGCCTTTCTCAAGTAAGGATATTTGAGAATTAACTGAATTAATATTCTCAAATTTTGTAAGAAACAAAAAAAATTCAGGAGCTGCATAAACAAGATGTAAAAGTCGTATGTCTTACCTTGGATATGTGCCACTACTGTTGCACTTACTGCATCAAAAACAGATACAGTATTTTCTCTGTCTGAACCAGATACCACATATCTACCATCACAAGAAATATTACATGAAGTTACAATGCCTTCATGGTCAACTGTCCACTAAAGAGAAAATAAAAGGTTTTAGAAACATGCTTGAGGGTTAAAGAGAATTTTACAGCAGACTATAATCTGTAAGCGGATTCAGAAAGAAGGTTTTTGATATTACATTGTTTAGGTAAAAGCTGAAAGATGTCTTTATATCCAACTTTTCTATTTTTGCATTAGCAATAAACTTAAAATTAGACAAGGCCATCCTGTTCATATCTTACAATGTTAATTTAATTAATCTTAAATGTATCTTCTGAGACAGGTTATTATCATCATACCCATCTGTATCTGAAATAACTGAGACATGTTCATTGAGAGACTTGATGAAACCAAGATCAAGCAATTATCTGTACCAAAACTAGGACTTAAAATCAAGTGTCCCTATCCTAACTATATCGTTTTGTGCTAACAAAGAATGTTGTGTTTTCTATCAATAACAAAGCAATAAATCTGAATTTTACAGTTGTACCTTCTGCAAGATGCATTCAAAAGGATACATACAAGTATTTTTCCTGTTTCCATATCCCAAGCTTTGACAGTGTTATCATATGATGATGTTACCACTCTAAAAATTATGTTAATGAAAACAACAATCAGTGTTTTCACTTAAAAGGAAGTATTTCAAAAATAAATGACAACATTTAATTCTGACAGTGATTTGACATCCTCACACCCACTAATTTAAAATAGATTTTTAAAGGCTACAGCAAAAATTATTGCATAGCTTAGTTGAGAAAAGGATTATTTATATTTCAGATAGAAACTAATAATAAAAAAGTCATGTATGTAATTTTCAATGCAAGCAGTCACCTCAATTTCATTTAGTCCACTACAAGATATTTAATTATTTCTAACGTTAGAATAATTTTCAAGCCGTTATGATGTCTTTTGTGAAGTGTTCTTGTCAGTAGGGTTTTCTGGATTTTCAGTGGTTATGTTGCTGGGTAACCCTCTACCACAAACGCTGCACTGCACAAACACAAAGTCACATTAGACAACAAAGCTGTTCAATAAAGTTTACTAACTCTGGCAGGTTTCCATTAAATGAGAGGTCAAAAAATTTTCCCTCACATAGTTTTCTTATAATATTCCCAAATATCTAAAGTAATATTTGTATTAAAAGTCACTGGATGTGACAAACGTTTTTAGTACCACTGTGGCTTTTTATTTTGATAAAGTTCATAAACTGTCACTTTTATACATTTTTCCCAAGAAACTCAATGCATTAACAATCTATCAGCTAAAAATATATTATTAAAATATTTTTATTTTCTCCATGTGTGTATATTTCCTGCAACCAACACAATCTCTGCTCCTAAACAGAAACATGTAACACAAAAGACCACATGAAGTTTATGAACTGGCAATATTTTTGTTTGGAAAGTGGTTTCCAGGGCTGTACACAATGGTATTTTACTTGCTGTTTAGCAATTTTCAAAAATATACGCCATTGCAATAGGCAGCATAGCACATGTACTATTCAGTGATCAAAAAACTAATCAGTCAGCTCTACAATCTGATAAGAATTGATTTAAACTATGACTTAATGATAAAATATGCCAGAAATAGTACCCCTGGAAGCACTACATGACCTACTTAACTGAATGTTAATACACGCTGCAGTTGGTTTAATTATTATGTCCACAGATTGACACTGGATTAAGACACATTTCTTCTTTAATTGATGAGACAGGCTTAGTAGAAAGGCTATAGAACGTTAATAAAAAATACAGACAGATGAGAATTTTTATGACAGTATAAATCTCTGACAGATGAATCCCTGAACCTTGGTTAATTCAATGTTGTTCTTTTATACAAGTGATATATATTTATATACCCCTCTCAGAACATATGGCAGATAGTCTTCCAGCCCCATATAACTCAGAAACAGAATTAGACAAGTCCTTTGCCATAGAAGAGGCCATAATCTATCAGGCTATTCCAACATGCATTTTAGACAATAAAAAAATTCCTGTTTAATTCAGCAGACATCATATGCAAACCAGAAAAAGTTTAAGAGCTCCTGTACAGACTGTATGTGAGAACAAGGTGAGATTTATGGTAGTTCACATGGATGAATGAGTCTGGCAGTAAACAGTCTGCTAGCAGAGCACAGACAGCACAAATGGAAGTGTAAGGATGGAGAGAAGTAGGAGGAGTGTATGGAGGAAGGGAGATGCAAGACAAAATTGTAACAGAATGACTTATGGAGGACAAAAGTAAGCAAAGGAAGTTTGACTTTGATGTAGTACAAGTTAGGAAACCATCAGAAGGATTCAAAAAGTAACTTGTTCTACATTTTGTACTAAGTGTTTCCACATGCACTGAAATTGAACCTTGAAATCACAAAAACAGTAACTTTTTTTTTTTTAATACATTAAGATAGAAAACCGTCACCTTCTGTCATCAGGAGTCAAGTTGCACTCAGAAATTGGGGCGGTGTGTTCTTCTTCAAAAACTTGAATAGGAAAACCTTTCTCAACATCCTTGAATAAATCCAAATGAGTTTGATTAGGAAGTGCCTTGCTAAATTGTAAAAAAAATACAAAGCATCACAAAATATGGGAAAAGAGAACTTGTGAAATCAGTAAAGATAGTTGTACTTCAGTTACTCTTACAATTTCAGACTCTCTATTCCTTCAAGACTGACTGAAACAGAGTTCTTCATTGATTGCACCCAGAATTTTATTTATCTCTTTCCCATCACAGTGGTTTTCACCAGAAATTTCCTGAAAAGAGTTCTCCTTAGACTCTCACATCCCTGTCCACACGTAAATCCTGGCAAGCCTTTCTTCATAAACTAACACAGAGTTTTCCATTTTCATTCATGTAGTTAAAACTCACACTCAAGCCCTGCCATCCCTGTATCAATTATTGCAACATAATTTTCTTCACAAATGCAGTCTCCCCTGCTTGTATCCACATGCAATGCTCTTCCACACATTTCCCTTTACTGTCTGTATTAAGTCTTTTGCTGTTTGTGTTCCTTTGTTGATTCGTCATTCTCAGCCACAAATAGAATCCTCTCCTCTTCAGATACAAAGTTCTGTGTTAATTATCCCCAGACATCATCTCCCTCCTGCCCTACCATTGATGCTAGCCCTTGGCACTCAGTTGTTACATTTTCAAAATTTATGAGTTCCCCATTGCTGTCCTTCATGTTTTCAAGGAGTCGCCCATAAATAACTGGAAATCTCTCCCGTAATACAAAATTCCACTTAAATGTCTGTTTTGTGATTCCTACAACAGCAGTCAACAGATTGCTGGAATGCTGAGATCATGACCCATATTGCATTACTGGTTCATTTATCATAGAATCATAGAATCATTTAGGTTGGAAAAGACCTTCAGGATCATCGAGTCCAACTGAAAACCTAACACTGCCAAGTCCACCACTAAACCATGTCCGCAAGTGCCACATGTAGTCTTTTAAATACCTCCAGGGATGGTGAGTCAACCACTTCCCTGGGCAGCCAGTGCTTGACAACCCTTCCAGTGAAGAAATTTTTGCTAATATGCAATCTAAACATTCCCAGGTGCAACTTGAGGCTGTTAAATTTCTCTACCATCTTCTATCTACTTAGTCTGTTGCACAGAGAGTTTTAAGTCATTTCAGGAAGGGACTATATTTTTGTCATACATGTGTAATGTTCAAATAATAGTGCAGTCTTAACCCCTGAGTAAAGCCTTGAAGTTCTTTAGTAATACAAATAGAAATATTAATCAAGCTTTATGAATGGATCACAGTACCTGATTGTGAACATCAAAATTGAAAAACCCAGGACTGCTGACATGCATGAACTCACAGATCAGTGTCACAGGATCAGTCATCATACCTTCATCTGGGCAAATAATCTTCTATTTCCATTATTAACCTAGTTATTTGAATTAGATTTTTGTTTGTGTAAGCACCAGAAGGGTTCAGAATCAATCTGGAAGTAGGCAACATAAACTCCCTTCATTGTGTTCTTTCATTTGTCTTCAATATGAGAATAAAATCCTGTATCTCTGACCACTACTCCCCTTTTTAACATCAACTGTCAAGTCTCGGATCTAGAGGTGCCTCCTTACAAGGACTTTCACTGGAAGGAACTATCCTGCTAACTTGGCAGCTCTTGATAACAAACAAAACTGAAGTGAAAATAAATTTATTTTTCACTTTTTCACTGCTTGTCTGAATGTGTGTCAATGCACTACAGGACTAACAACTGACACTAAAATCATTAGGATTGTCTCTAAGACCGAGGGAAATAAAAAAACAGATCAAAGTTACCGTATGTTCTTGTTCTATTTTTCTGAGTCAGAAAAGCCTTGCAGTCACAACTGCCCTTCTACACTTATCTAGTCTTTGTCTGCTGTGTGCCCTATTAATCTTTGTTTTCCAAAAGATGTGTGGACTGTCAGTGAAACGCTGTCTATTCTCAAGAGGAACTTCAAATACTTTCTCAGTACACTCAATCATTTGATATCTACTCTTTCAAAGGAAAAACAAAGAGAACCCCAAAGTGAAATTGTCAGGGCTGGCCTACCCCTCCATGACCAAGCCCTCCATACTCTCCTGAATTCTAATTGCTTCAGCTGTTTCTGCAAAGGAGGAAATTAGGCTTGTCCTGACAAAATTAATCTTATCAAAATAAATGAACATAGTCTTGTCTATAGACTGCTATCAGAAAGGTCCTAATGCTCAGGCAAATATTTGTAGATAGATTCTGAAAAATAAGTATTGCTCAAAAAGTGTTGAATATTAATCTTTCCTAGATAAAAACTATAAAGATAACATTTCTTAGATAGATTAACCCTTGCACACTTTAGGCAAATGGCAGCATAATAGCCTTTCCAGCAAAAAGAACATTCATGAATCTACTGTGCTTAAAAAAAAAAAAAAATAGGTTATCTTCTTATTTTTGGGTCCTGATTGCGGTTTACGTGTAAAACAGCTGAATAGCATTTCACTAAAAATAAAAAAGTACAAGTTCCAGTTCTGAGTTCAGAAAGCAGAAAAGTTTGGAACTGTCATTAAACTGTAAATGTTATGACTAACACACTGAGGTACTTATTTTTCTTTCTCCGATCTACAATATTTGCCAAAGATCTCCAAGTTTGCTTACTTTGGAACTGATCACTAAGGTGGGACTTTTTTTCATTCTAGACTGATTTCTTGCATCTAGGCATCCACAGCTCTCAGATAACATAATGGTGCTAACCTGAAAATTGCCTGGACTTTTTACATTTTTGGGGTTCTTGGGCTTTTTCAGTATGTCTGAAAAAATGTTTGGATTATGGTAGAAACCTAGTACTGCACTGGTAAGAAGTCAACACTCTTGATCCTTTACAAAATTATTTCATCTGTATTCATATCATATTCAGGTGTTACTATAACTCATTACCAATTCTTGAATGAAGTCATGACTCAATGCCCGCATTCTATTTAGCAATTACATTGTCATTTGCTTGCATAAAATTCAAGACCTCATATAACTATACATCTCCAAGCTATTTTTTAGACTAAATTTAGATTTGATCACCCAGAATCTGTACACTTCCCCAGTTCAAGTATCACCATTGCCCTGCACAGGGTAGCTAGAATTTTAGGGAAACCCCAGCTACACAAAACTTAGAGGAGCAAGAAACTAAAGGGTGCAAATCAAGATTTAAATAACAGGAAAAATCAAGCGACACATATGAAAATACCACGGCCACACTGGTAACTGTGTGATCCCTAACTTCTACTTCTCCGTAGCCACATACATAAACAAGTCAGAAGAAGGAACTTTCAGGATAAAAAGACTAAGCTTCGTACATCAACTTACAGTTTTAAAATATTAATAAACTAGAGCTCTGATTCAGTGTATGCTACATATGCTTACATGAGTCACCCTTTAATGTTAAAGAATGCATTCAAAGTACGAAATAAGTTTTACTGTTTATCCGTAACTGCAAAAACATTTACAGTTGCTATTTTTAAACTTCAGTAAAGTATCTTCAGAAGGCTCCTTGACAATTCAATCTTCAGGACTGTATAACACTCCCTGTTTGATTTCAGCTTTTTTTTTTTTTTAATTTTGTTGTTGCTGTTGCATCATAACATACCCAGAGCTTCAATGTTCTATCGTAAGAGCATGAAAGTACTTTTGTCTCTTCAAAGCAAAAGTGGCAGGAGCTCACAGTATCACTGTGTCCTCTCAGAATTTTAGATTGGATCTGTAAAGGAACAGAGCAAAGTTTAGGAATATTCTTCTTTGAAATTATTTTTGGCAGCTTAGTCCACGAGGGGGAGTATGAAAGCAAGAACCGGAGGAGAATATTTTAAATTCCACTTGTCTGAGAAGAGCTCGCATACTTTCCCTGCTACTAGCAAGGAGCAGATTTAACAGATCTGGTTGAGAAAGAATAGTTGATGGATGTGGATTTTATTTTTATTTTTGTGGAGGGGAAGGAGGTTTGGTTTGGCTTCCCAATTTTTCTTCCTCTCATGAAAAGTAATATATGTCTCACAGAGTCTCCCTCAAATCTTTCAAACACTTGTTTCCTTGATTCTGGCCCATCAAAGGGCAGCACATAAACTCTTAGGCCAGATATTTTAGCTAAGGCTGTTACAAACTTTGTCAAAGCTTCTTTGAAAAGGCTTTTCTTCAGTTATTTGGGAATTTGCTCATGGCTGTCCAGCATAGGTTTGTGTGAACAAAGCTAACAAAAAATCCCAGCTGCCATGAGCATTAAAGGTGGCACATAAAGTTACAGAGAGCTTTCCAGCCCTCAGCTCCCTGCAGCTCCCGACTAGCCCTGCCCTCCGCGCTCTCCAAGGCCGGCCCTGCCTGCCTCCCTGCCTCCCTCCCTCCGTCCCCGCCTGCCCGGACTACCTGCGCCGCCAGCTCCCGGCCGTCCCAGCCGCCGTGTGCCGGGGAACGCTTCGGCGGCGGCGCCGGGGCTGAGGGGTCCCCGTGGCCGCTCCCCGCCGCCATGGGGCGCTGCCCGCGCGCTACCTCAGCAGGCGGGAGCGGCGGGCAAGGCCCGGCCCCGCTGGCCGCCGCGGAAAGGCCGCGGACACGGGCTCATTCCTTCCGCGGCTGCGTTCCTGCTCCCGCCGGAACGCCGTGGAAGCCTTGACAGCTCCGAGCCACCGCCGCACAATGCAATTGTCGGTTTTATTTTTTTTTCTGTAACGGAGGCAACCTCCAGCCCCAATTTCTCATTTCTCCCTCCGTCACTCAAGTTTTCTTGTCGTCTTTACATTTAAAAACCACACAATCTGTGTGTCAACACAAGATTATTATATCACTTTGCTCTCACCAAGAGCTGTCACAAAGCTGTGGGTACTGAAAAATTACATTAAATCAGGCCCTGGAGAACTGCCATTGACAACAGTGAATTTCAGTTAAGGCTTTGTTCCTTGTTTCAAGCAGGAATATTGTTTTGGTTTCCCTGTGCACCTGGAAAGAGAAGTTCTGTGGGTCTATTTTAACAGCCTGGTCATTCAACATAAGGCAGATTTATAATTCTAGTACTAATCTTTTAGTACATTACTCTTAATTTGTGTCAGAATGACAGTTTATTGGTTTAGATCTGATATGGCAAATGCTATATACAATTTGGAGATGTAAAAATAACTCCAAGTACAAACAGATCCTGCAAAATTGCAATGTGAAATTCTGCATTAGACTCATTAAAAATACCTGCACCCAATACAAATTTTACATTGCTTTAGTTTTTAAACTTCCTAATTTAATTCAGACTGAAACTTACTCTCCAGCATTTTAAAGGTCCTAGGCAATGACTTACCATACAAAAATTATTTGTAATACTTAAGTTTATTAAAATACTTTGTTTCATATTAATTAAAACAGAGCCTCCAGTATTTCCGATTCTGCTTCCCAGAAAGGGGTCTTTTCAACATTCCATAATCCATACATTTTGAACATATGAAGCATCACAAAATAAAGATATGCACATTTACTTTCAAACTAATTCAATATGAATACAGTATCTACAGTGCTTCAAAGATTGATCTACCATCATGGAGGAGATCAAAAATTTGAGACCAAGACAAACAGCACTGAAGAAAGCAAGCTACCTCTTCAATACTGAAGCTGTTTTAATCTAAAAGGGAGAAAGAAAAAGAAAGAGGTCAGATTGAACAGTGACATGCAACATTAAGAACATTTAATTACTTGAGCAGTTTCTTAAACCTTAGTTTAAGAGAGAGATGAGTTATGTGAGATAAAAACATTTTCTCAGTGATGTAGAGAGACATGCAAATACGAAGACTTCCAAAATTAACTGTTTGTACAAGTAAGTCTGTTTTGTGCAAAATACATAAAAACGTATTTATGTATTTACAAATCAAAGGAGAGGTAGTTTGTTTTTTTAGTAAGAAAATACCAATACATAACCAAAGCTCAGTTTCAAAGGAATGGAAGGCAGAGTCTTTTTGAATGCCCGCCTTTCCATTGGTACACAGCTATTCCACTAAACACCTTGATCCAAATCATTTTGCCATTAGGCCAGCTGGATGTGGTATTTCAACAAAAACCTCGAGACCTCTCCTTCAGCTATTATGAGACACTAAACAGAAGCCAACACAGTGACTGTTGCCCATGGGATGCATTTAAAGTTGACTATGATCTAAACTATAGACAGTTACTTTTGTTTGTACTTTAAGTGTGTGTGCAAAATTGTGAACAGTTCTTTTTTGATTTTCACATTTCTATTAGCACTATGTTCAAATTTCTGTAGTTTATAGAGATGTAACAGCACAGTCTAAATTTAGCAGACACGTACATGACTCAAACATGATTCTGCTTGCTTCACTACTCCTTGCTCAAGCACAGAATTATCTTAAGCATTAATGCCACATAATGGATCTATTTGAATCAGATCTTTCACTATCATCAAACTGAAGCAGACTCAAAACATTCTGAAGCAGACAATGTTGCTTTCAATGTTTCCAAGTAAAGAAAAGTAGAGAAAGTACCGGAAATTTGAATCACCACCTGTACTTGTTCAATTTTTAATTCCCATTCAAAATACCTTCCAAAACCATCAGTCATCTTTAACTATAACCTCCAATAACTAGCAGAGTTGTGTATTTAGTGCCCTTTACCTTAAGAGGCTTCTATCCTAAAATTAATTGCACTCTAGATTAAGATGCCTAATATTTGTAAGCCTTCCTCATTTTAATAAAAAAACTGAGCAGTATTTTATATCCATAAAGAGACTGACTGATTCATATTCGCTGCAAATAGGTTCACTAGAATGACAACTCATAAATGGAGGTTTTGATTATTCACTGCAAAATTTGCAAATGTTTAAACTTTCTGTTTACCTTCTTAGAAGTTCTTTGGGTGACAAGCCTGTGGTATCTGTATCACTAAGGCTGTCACTGCTATCTGCAGTGTCTGAGCTGCTATCTTTTTCTGATTTTTTATTCTTGTGTTTTCCTTTGCTTTTCTGTTTCCTATGTTTCTTTTTCTGTAAAAAGAAGATAAATAATCCTTTATTTCATTGTGAAAGTTTTTGGTTTTTTCTGAAAGGAAACAACAGCAAAAAGTTGATTTCAGTGTAGATTCCAAGCTTAACTGAAGCAGAACACTTAACAATGACTCTTTGGCACTACTCAGTCTGAGCTAAAAAAATACATACCAAAATCACCCATTTCATCCCAAGCACTCAAACCGACCCCCAAATAGAAATTTCATTATTATAATTTGTATACAAGTCATGACTTATATGCAGTCCCCAGAATATCCCTGACATCTTCAGCATATAACACTAAGCTACCCACAATATTGTATCTGTAGTCACACTGTATATATGGAAAAAGCAGCAGCCTAGTTGGACAATTTTCTGTTCGGAACTTCAGGTTTTAAGACATATGAGAACTCAGTTACTTAAGTTCTAGTCCCAGTATATCTATTTTCTACAACCTAGCATAAATAATAAAAAATTTTGAATGTCAGATTAAAGAATCAATAAACTGTTTATTTCAATTAAATACCTTTTCCTTTTTGTGTTTGTGTTCTCTCTTAGTCTTGTGTTTCTCTCTGTTCTTCCTATGTTTTTCTTTCCTACTAGGCCCAGGAAAAATTGCTTGCACCATTGGTTCTTGTTGCCAAGTTGGGCCTAAAGCACAAAGCAAATGCAGAAACAAAGCAAATGCAGAAACAAAAAAAAAATGACAAAAAAGGTAACTTAATTATTAAATTCTATATTACTTTAAATTAATAGGATAGTTTAAAACAAAACAAAACAAAAAAAACCAAACAAAACAAACACCCCAACAACATAAGCTTTCAAATGTAAATAAAATGTCTGAAACTCCTAACTGCAACCTGTCAACTATAACTAAATGCCTTTGCAATCTGTTATTAAAAGAAATTGCAAGGCTGGTCCTTTATTTTCACTACAATTTTTTATCATTGCCTCTATAGAGCTACAACAAAATTGGTACAAAAAGAGGTTCCTGCTAGTGAATCACAGCATAGTAACAAAGCATTTGCTGATGCCAGTTTGACGTAAATGCAGGCATTTAAGAGGTAAAGTGCCTATTCACAAATGGTTTTTAAAGAGAAATATCGTGTATCTTACGTGCAACTTCAATGTCCAGAATTTACACACTATAAGTCTGCAGAACCTACCACCAGAAGAAAAAGCTGGAGGCAACTTTGGTCCAAATTCCTCTGTTGCATCCAGTTCCTGCTTTGAAGTAGGCAACAAAGAAACACCAGGATCAGCTGTAGCAGCCACATTCTCTATGAAAAAAAAAAAAAAACAAAAAATTCTTTATTTGAAAGGAAAATAAGAATGCTTTTTCCAAGAACTGCTGATAAAAGTTAAAGAAGGCTTTTCTAAAAAACACTAAGAAAGCAAATTAATCAGCATCCTGTGTCTCTATGGACTGCTTTGGCCAACTGGATAGCGGACATTCTGAAACATGTGAACATACTGTTTGTTTTGGTTTTGTTTTTTGGTTGGTTGGTTGGTTGAGGTTTTTTTTAACCAAAATTGACCTTTTACATTGTACAATTACTAATTAAATTAATATCAGTGAACCTGTTTGCTTTAATTTAGTAAAAAGTATTATTTTCCACTACTTAGCATGAATAAAAGACTCCACAAAATGGTAAAGTTAATCAACCCTAGCTGTTAACAGAACCAGCTGTGACAATCAGTGGACAAAGTATTTCCATTGTAAGCCAAGTATATTGTACATTTTGTTAATTTAATGACATCTTGAAAATACGGGAAATTTTCACAGCTCATTTAATTTTACTAAGAAGTAAAGATTGGTCTTCTCCCTCTCTTGTGGAAGTATTCTGGGAACTTTTTATAGCTAGAATACAAATAAAATGCAACTTTTTGATGTCTTAGTAAAATTATTTTGATATTATATTTTACTGGAATGTCAGTATTTAGAGAGTGAATTTAATTATCAAAGAAATGCGAGTTGTTTATTTCTGAATTTGTCACATATCCACCATGACAGTCCTAATTTATCACACTATCTTGCAATTTATCATAGATATAGAAGTTTCCCTGTATTTCTCAGTGAGGTATGCTCTAACATTTGATGTTATCTTCCCCCCTTCACCGTTTAACAAGCATATTCCATAGGGCAGTTAAATTGTAAAATCTATGCAAGACACATGGTAATGTAAATAACACTATAACATGCAAGGTGTTCTTCAGTGTTGTATTATTCATGTTTTCTACATGCCCAGCTCCACCAGTGCCAAATGATCTACACGAAAGCAAGCACTGTCCCAGTAGTTCTGGAGTATTTGGTTCGTAAGTAAAGCTTTTATAAATACATTGTAAAAAGGAACATCCATTAAGTACTACCTTGTACATTAGAAGATGAACTGTCTGGTACAATAACTTGCTTGGTGGTTTCTGAATCTATTACTGAAGCAGTTGGTTGCTGTTCTTCATCACTCTCTTCTTCAGAGGAAGATGATTTTTCATCTGACGAACTCACAAAAATAGCCTTAAATAAGTCCATGGATGGTCTGCTTTCTTCTTCCTGATCCTTATCTTCATTACCTACCTGCAAAACAGCATCATAAACTGTATTTAAACACTAAAGAAGCTAACAATCTCTCTCTGATAAGTAATAACTTTAAACATGCTGACATGTATTTACAAAACACTCAAGTATCACAAGAGGTGTGAAATATACAATCTTAGGAACTGCTAGTCTAAAATAGTAAAATTCTGAAACACTGCTAAACTAAGTCAGTGTTCTGTAAAGTGTAGTGAAATTCACACTACACCAATGAAAATAGATCTCCATATATTATAGGTTCTAATTCATTAATTCAAACTGCAATTGTATACTACTAAATTTAAGCAAAAGGAAAACATCACCTTTCTCCCCAAAGTATGCACCCTCCTCCATTCAAAGCAGAAAAAAATAGATTCTGTGCCTGTGAGCAAAGTGGGTGTAAGGGACTGAATTTAACTTCCAGACTGCTGAGCTACATTTTTTCTTCTCTTAAGCTGTTATTTCAAGTATAGTCATGCTTGTTGTCCTTGAACGCTGTGTATGTTTTACATCTCAGAGGTATAACCTCAAAATTCTTCAAAGTACAATCTCACGTCCTTGCTTAACCCAAGTTGGCTCTTCTGCAAACTCATCTGTATTAAATCAATTCATATATTACCCAACCTTATTTCTGGGTTGTGAAGGTTTACAGCTATTTCCCTTTAAGTTCAAACACCGCTGTAAACTCACCTCAGTGGGAAGAGTTTCACTCAGCTCAGTTGCACATTCTTCTGCTGCTGGCACCGGTGGCTGCTGCTGAGCATCAGCTTTCGATCTAGCAAGGCTAATGAATTCGCTGATAGAATCTTTTTTCTCCTTCTCTTTATCTGAAACATCCCATCTTGAAGGTTTCTTTGGTTCTAAAAACATCCCAAACATTCAAAACAGTTGCATGCCAAATTAACCTGCATTTCATGGCCTACTTGATTTTAAATTACTCTGCTTCTTCAGTATGTTTGACAGTTTTTCAATCTTTCTAATATCTGACTTATAAAGGTCTTCTAAATAGAAATTAGCATAGTATCACTAACTCAGCTTTTATGTCATCGCCTTTATTTTTCAATAGCTTTGTTTGTTTGCTTGTTTGATTTTTGATTAAAAATAAAAATCATGTGGGTAAGTTCTCCACGACAAAGATACGTTTTTTCTATACTAATATTTCTTTTATACCTAAACAAATAAAATAACGAACTTACTGTTGAGATTGTTATTCTGTTGGATTTTTTCATTTGTTGCTTGAGTTACAGACGTGGTGGGCTCAGCCAGAGTTAAGAAATTAAACACAGAATACTTGTCTCGTTTCACTTTTGGTAACCCAACAATGGAAGAACTAGAGGGAAATAAAAATGTTTGTTGATTATTGTTTTCAACATAGAAAAAGCCTCAAATTATTTAAAACAAGCTGAAACACCTACAGTAGTCCTTAAAATGTGTATTATTTTGTCAGAGGTCACCATGGTCACCAGGCAAATAAAAACATTAAGTAGTTCTATATTACATCTATTATGACGCAAAAAGAAAACATTGTCAGATTTTCCATAAGCAAATGAAAACTCAGAATTTTCAAAAAATGCTAAAAATATCAGTAGCAATCATCTTACTCAGGATACGGATCAGGAACATTAAATCTTTTACACAACAGCTTTTCAGGATGCCATTCAAATTTGTCTCTTGTGAGTTTGCCAAACATCTTCATCTTCACAGCAGTCTCCTTATCATCAATGTCATTCTGAAAAAGTCAAACATTTATAGCTGCTAAATAAGTAACAACTTTCTGAATTGGCTATTACTGTTGTAAGATGTAAGAACAGGACAGAAACATAAATATTTAAGTGTAGTTTAACAAATCACTGCTTTGTATACAGTGAGTGTTTCCAGGAGTTTGCTAAACAGAAGGGCAACGAAACATTGACAAACATCTACAGAAGAGTTCTAAAGAAAAAGAATTTTGAAAGTTGGGATTAAGGCAGCAACTGCAGCTCCAATGTACTAAAAGACTGTAAACAGCATATACCTCTTGGTCCCGAGGAACTTCGACTTTGTCAACATCATCTTCATATTTGGCCCGAGTAAACCTGGATGACAGTGTTGAATTTGAGGATCTGTAGAACATTGCTGCACGGAAGAACTCCTCTTGTTCTCTTCCTCGCTCCCATTCTGTCATAGTTGGATCTAAATAATGCTCCAATGTATCTACTATAAGATAAGGAGAGAAGTGCTTAGCAGAGATTACACCTTACTTAGGCCCAACTCTTTTCAAACAAAAAATAAGATAATAAGCAAACATCCTTGCAAGTATTTAATGAGTATTTAGTTTAAGGACAGTATTCATCTCAACTGTGTTATTCCTTGATAACTGGAGGTAGTTTTTAAAGGTAGCAAGAATGATGGCATTTGTCAAATGCAAGATAAGGTATTTTAAATTTTACTTGTGATGCTAACTCATTACTGCACTCACTGCCCTCTAAGGAATGTTCAAAATACTTATGTATTTAATAGGTGTTGAAAACAAAAAGTATAATCCAAAGCTTTATCAAATAACAAACATAGAACAAAAAAGTTAACTAGTGACTAAGCCTGGCCAGGCTTTAGTAACTTCAGGGGGCTTTCTGGTATATATTCACTGATAAATAAAGAATTTGGACATAAGTTTTTGTAAACAATACAGACCCTGTTTAAAGCAATGGGTTCACATTTGTTCCCACGAGGAATAGAAAATAACAGCAGCTGAGCAAAGACACTCTTACAAACAGAATCTTAATCATCCAAGTTATTTAAGTATTTCTGCATTTTTATCGTTATGATTAAGGAGGCACTTACAGCCATAAGAAGATGCTCAATTTTACACTGGAAAAAACAGTCCTGAATGGAGGAACAATGGGTTCCAAGCTGAAGGAGTCCATCCCACTGTGGTAACCAGAAGAGGCTACTGACCAGGACATCTTTTTTCATATAGTGAAAAAGATTACTTAAAAACAATCCTAAAGTAACACAACCAGGTTTTCTACCTGACACTATACACTTTCTTATGCAAAACTTTGCTGGTGCCCTTTTTCTTCCTCCTCAATAGCCCTTGTACTTTAAGATTTAAAAACAAAACAACATTATTTTTTTTTTATTTTAAGACACTCTAGATTCATCTGCTGCTGCTGAATTCTCTAGATCAGATTTCAGCTTTTTATGCCTTACAGAAAAATCACAGTAAGGGGGAACTCACTACAAGGCACCCCAAGTACCTGGTTTAACGTGAAATACACCACAGTATCATTTAATAGAAAAATTCTAAACAAAATGGAAGGAGATTGAATCAGCATGGAAAGACCAGATAAAGGGGGTTGGGTTTTTTTGGTTTTGAGTAAGAGCTCTGCATGTATGTTATGATTTTACAGCCGTAAATTTTTCTGCAAGGAACGTAAGTGACAGTGGCATTTTGAGTATCCAAAGGACATGTAATACAAGCTTTGACAAGTGTGAACTACTTCATTCACTTTAGGTTCTTATCTCCTCTGGAAGTGTCGGGTATGGGTTTTCTTCTCATTTTTCCCGTCCTTCTACTGGGATCTGATAATCTTTCTGCCTTTATAGGATCTGTCAGTTTTACTCCTCAAAGAGAAACAAAATAAATGAAAATGCCTGTTCCATGCATAGTTTATGGTACTGACCAAAGCTGAAGCCTACTTTGGCACATGAAAGGGAAACCTGGGCAATTAAGTAGAACTTCACTTCTGATGCAGCATAGAAGTATGAAATGTAATGCCTAAAATCAAGTCTTGCTGACACTTAAATTACTAAGCAGTTTTCCTGAATTAACACAATTAAATATCAGTAAAAATGTATTTTAATATTGGCCCTAAAAAGAAGTAGAGGGAGAAATGCTGCGGATTTCAGGAAGAGAACTCATAGAGAACATAAAATGCATCAGGACAAAAAAGGGGAAAAAGGAGGAAAAACAATTTCAAAGCAGAATTAAAACATCACGATTAATCTCTTCAGTTACCTTTTTCTCCTTGTTTAAGACTCTTCACAAAACTTTCGTATCTTTTTTGTTTTTCTGGATTTCTTGCAAATGGTTTGAAGTCACTAGAACCAGCATTTGCTAACTGCCCCCCCAGCAACATTTGCCATTTGTGAGAAGCATCATCTGGGGAGGCTGGCTGGAACCTGCTATTTCGTGATTGCTGAGGCAGTATTTTTGCCTTCATTTGTTTTTCAGATGCTTGTTTCACTTCTTTGAGTCTTTCTCTATCTTTCTCAGACAGATATTCCAAAACAGAAGGAGCCGGACCTAAAACCAAAAAAAGTACTAAGAGATAAATAGAAATTAAAAATTACTGCAACAATTTCTGCCACTTTAGTGGAGGAAAAAAGCCTACCACTGTGCATATACATTCAGAGAAAATCCTCTTAAGCATCAATAAACAGTATAATGGCAGAGAGAGCAGAAAAAAAAAAATGGCCGCTATTTTATCTTTTATGCTGTTTACCATATATTTACATATTACTTTGTGAACTTTACTACGGTAGCTACAAATGTGAACCACATTTACAAATTACGTTTTTAGTGAATTCACATGTATTTCAGTGAAACCACATCTTACAGGAAAAAAAACCCTCACAGCCTACTATATTCTGAATTCGTAAGGCCACAAATAAAAAAACAAACCAAAACAAAAAAAAAACAACAAACCCCCCACACACAACACCACACAGTCCCAAACATACTTTTTGTCTTTAAAAAATTTAAGTAAATGAAAATACAGGCAGATATGACAACAGTTCATCTGTTGAGATGAAACTGAACAATGATAGAGTATTCTACTTAAGCCAACTAGAACGCATATGTTTATATCAGAAAATAGTGTAACAGGCTAGACCAAATTTTTACTGTTATCTAAACAAACAGGGGACCTGAAACACAAGCAAAGGTGTGGTCACATACATCAATACCTTTTAGACCAGTCTCTCCTAGTCGTTCCCTCCTCTGAGATGCATTCAAAGCATGTCTGCTTTGTTGTGTCATATCACTCTCAAGTTTTCCAGTCGATTCATCTAATGCCTTCTGTAAATGGTAGTTTTCATTCCCAGCTGTGATCACAGGTCGAAAGTAATGGACTGGTCTGTAATTTCGTGGCAGGTTAGGTGGTGGATAAATCTTGGCAGGGGGATGACAAAACAAAAATCCACTAAGAGAGAGATACAACTTTGCATTTAACACTTACAAATGTGTTTCAGAAAAAGTAATCTTAAAATTTTTCAATTTATATCTTATCAGTAGAAACAGACACAAGTTACTGATTCTTTTAGACCCTAGTCAGTACCAGGCATCATAATATGAACTTTGTGAACAAGCTGTTACACTGTTAATATGTAACGATTATGAAAAAGAGGAAAACATGCACATTGAGCCACAGCAAAATTAACAAGAGTCTTAATATGCACTGCTTTTATTTGAGGAAATGCTCCTGGTATTGCTTAATAATTATTTTTTTAAAAAACAGAAGTCACATGATTTAATCGATTAATTGGACTATTGAGTACTTCTCTGCTTACTGTATTTTAACATCTTTCAAGGTCCTTTTCCCTTACATTCTTCATTCAAGCTGTTACCTCAAAGGTTACCCCTGTGCCTCCTATATGATGCAATTTTATATACCACGCAAATGTTCTTCCTTCTTCTTCATCAGAAAGAGGACCATGTCACACAATTCTGTTTGTCATTCTAATTTATGCAAATATAAATGGCATATATGATGCAAACCTGAGAATAGGGCTAACAAATTAACTTGTCACAAAAATAGTGAAGTAGATCAAGCATGGGGCCTGATTTTTATGGAACACTGAATATTACATCCGAAAGCTCTAAAAGCAAAAGATGTACATTTTTTTTATTTCAAAGTTGAATGAAACCTTTCCTCCAACCTTATGCCAAATAACAGTGGACAGCGTGGAAGGCACCTGTTCAAAGCAAGTACATAGGCAAAATTTAAATTCATCCAGCAGTCTGACAAATTTTAGGTTTGTACTGAATAGCCTCCAATGCTATAATTTTGCTCATTCAGTAATCTTTATTGCTGACCAAAAGTTTTATTTCTAAGAACATAAAAAACATCAAGCAACAGTAAAGTCCATATAGCTCACATGTCAATTTGCTGATGCTATTCTAAATACAAAAATATCAGTATCTGCTTACCTTGCTTGGAATTGATGATTTTGATGCCAAGGAAAAACCATCCAAGATTTTGCCAATATATTTAACTTCTCTTTCAGATCCTACAAAATGTCCATAGAGTTGGTCAATATGTAATACATGTATGTTTGGCAAAAAACATTTTTTTCTGAATGTTTGCAATTTTCCAATACATTTTATGGAACATAATTGTAGTTCTTTGTCTTCACTGCCTTCCATTTAAAATTAAGGGTTCTGAATCTGGATTAGCATTATATAGCTAAAAAACTACTACCAGAGAGATTGCTGTAAAATGAACATGCCTAACAGTGAGGCAACAGTACCACTACTGTGCATAGAGCTAACATCACGAGTGCCATTAATTGTGTACAACATCAACAGGTACTCCAGAAATCACTACAGTATTTCATGCACTTAAAAGCTGCACTAAAGTGGTATCAAGATAGGATTTACAAATGTTATTTGAAAATACACAAGTATATCTAAAAAAATCTTTGCAAGTAATGTGGCATATTCTGTAGCCATGGTTCACAATCATTTGTTTTCTTCAGTGGAACTGAATGCTGTTATCTCAAAGCAGCATGTATTTTGCTTTCAAAAATGTAATTCAGGGGATTAATCTACATTGGGATTAGTGAAGGATTTCAGAAATTATTTCCAGATTTGGACACTTCGATATAAAAGACAGACTAGATGAAGTTTCAGATATCAAGGCTGGAAGATACCAGTCTACTGGAAATTACAATATTTGGAAAATAAAGACTACACTTATGTAATATTTTTTTTCCCAAATATAAGTTACACTAGCTCTTTAAATAGAACTGCAGTTCTTACTTTTTTTGGATTTATACTGTTTAGGCGCTGTCCAGCCATATAATCCATCTCCAGGTTCCTCTTCTTTTAGAACTGTATCATATTTTGACAGTGTTTCAGTTGCATAAATATCATCATCTTCCTCCTCTAAAGCTCCTACACCAAAAGCCTAAAATAGATTTTAAATAAAAATAATGAGAATTCAAAAGCGTAAAAATAATACTTTTAAGTCACATATCAGAACACATCTACATGTATAGCTATTTATCTATATCATATAAGATGTCCAGTATACATATGTATACTGGGAAAAATGTACAGCTTCACCAAAAAAAGTGCTACCAAACGGTGAAAAAACACAACACCTTCACCAAACACAAAAGCAAACATATTCCACTGCCCTGGCAGGAAGGGACAGTCAGTTTGGTCTGTACAGGATGAGGAGAGAAGCCTAATTCCACAAGGTAACATTTGCAGTCTGACTAAGAGCAGGTTACATTCTCAGTAGGAAAACAACGTAAATGGGCATGAAAATGAAAGAAGTATACTTCCCAGAAATATAAATTGACAGTGCTTTTACGTAAGAACTACAAATACTGTGAAGGAAAGCAGAACTTCTCTAGCTGACAGATTCAGCATTACTGAAAGGATTCAGTAAAATTGACAAAAAATATCACTATGGTTATATTTTATATATCTAAATTTCTCTAATAAAAGTAACACAAGAATTTTCTCCACTCAGCTATTCAGAGTGAGGTATTTTATAGTTCTCTCTAATGATATCCATAAGTGAAGGCATTTCAGAGTTCTAAGGATTTACCCTTATCTTCATATTAAGTAAAAGTGTTCTCAAGCCACACTTAAGGTTTCCAACAATAATCCCACTAGGTGCCTTCCAGAGAAGAAAAAAAAAAAAAACAACAAATTTATGTAGGTTTTACTGCATTAGTAATAAAATGCATTAAAAAGTGTCCTCACCTGACCTGTAATACCTAGTTTTCTTCCTTTACTGTGTCTCAGATCACCAATTAAATTGCTTGTGTCTTCAGAACCACCTGTGAAAAGATTCAGGTGTTCTCTTCCAGATACACCAAACAAAGCTTGTGAGGGGTCCAAACCCTTATAGCCAAGTCCATGGACATTCTCTTTTGGAGTCAAATCTACAGGCATTACATCTTTTGGTGCAAATGTCACATTTTCTGGCTGGTATTCATCCTCTTCATCCTTGTACAAAATAGAAGTATGTAACAGTAAATATGACTAAAAGTTCTCTCTACTGTGCTTTTACAAAATTTAGTTAATATGAGATTAGGCAAGTTTGCATTTCCTAAATTATATATGAAAATATGTATAAACTACACCTGTTTATGTAGCCAGAGTAAATTTAGCTACATTAAAACCTTTTTTCACAATAAGCTTAATAAATATTTATGAATACTTTTAACAAAACTTGAAACTGCATGTTAAAATACTGTTCAAAGGCATCAAAGAAGTTATTCAAAAGCGTGTTAGCACATATTCTTACATAACTCAAGCAACAACTTTTGCCTTCAATACCTCAGAACCCTCAGACAGTCCGGGTGGTAATGCACAACCATATACTTTCACCGCAGGGTCTGTGAGAGACATAATAGCATCATATTAAATTACAGTTCTTTATTAAATTTCTCTAAGATTAAAGAAACAGACCAAATAAAAGGAGGCTTTAAAATGAACTTTCCAATCAGTCTATGAATGCTGACTTTTTATTAATGAGTTCAGGAACTTCACTGAACTTACCAGGTCTCTGCCTGCATGGCTTTCTTTTCACGCGCGGTCCAACTCCTTGACCTTCTTTCCAGCCCATTTTTCGTAACAGTTCAACCCCGATTGTTATTCTAAGAAGAAAACAAAAGAAAAAAAATTACCTCAAACCTTAATATTTCTTGAGAAACAATATACATATATACCATTCAAATTTATGTTTTTATATCCTACTTTAAAATCAAATCTGCATATATCAACATTTCCATATACACTGCATCCCAGTTTGTAAATGTTGACCTGGTACAACTCTGCACAGACAAAACAAAAATCCAGGTGGAGGCCACTGAGACAGTGTAACGCTGCAGGTCTTCCAATCTCTTTCATGGATTACTGTGGTCAAACATTACTTTTCTGACCAATACAACACTCCTAAGTGAAAGGCATTGTTTGGTTAACTTTTATTTAAATTTACTTACTTTGATGGTCCTATTAAATCATCAAATGCAGTGGTTCCTGGAATGGCAGCAACTACTCCTGCAATCTGTCTAGCTTTCTCTTTTATTCTATCTTTAGCTTTGGATGCAAAATCATCTGTGGTTGTAATATCTTTTGGTGCTATCCCAAATTCACTAAGATCCTGTAAAATATAGACAAAACGGAAAAATTTAGATTAAAACCACGTTTCCCTCAAATACTTACTTACTGTAATGGTAAAAAAAAAAGAAAATGGGATATGTCCCTCATACGGGCTACATTTTTCAAGACATTTATATAGTTGCTTTTTCAATAACTTGACTGTTGTATTTTAAATAGCTTCAAAAGTACTTATATTTTCTCATAAAGTGAAAGGGTTGAGTTCTGGGTTTTCACTTCTTCCTTGCAATCAGTAACTGGATCAAAGAGTAGCCACCCTGAAGTGGAAACTGAGATTACAGGAGCTTCCTAAGTGAATCTATGAAACATCCTACAAGACCTAGCAGTATAACACTGTATACAGGAAATAATTTTAAAGCTATTTCCATTTTCACTATTTAAGTTCTCAAGAAGATTCCACTGTCTGAAAAACCCTCTGTCATGGCAACTACTTCCAAAAGACTTTTATTCCTTTCTAAGTTTACCTCTTCATCCATGAAGTCTTCTGGTCCAAGAACAGTTCTGTCTGCTCTCTTCTGCCGTGATGATACAAAAGCTGAAGGAGTCCATCCTTTAAAGAATGTAAATATCTAAATAAGGCATTGTAAACTGCAACATAATATTTGAAAACAATTCAAACATTTCAACCTTACACCTTAAGTGTACATCATGGGAACACCTATAAAACTGCGGTACGAAAACTCAAAGGGAAATAACTTAAACAATACTGTTTCAACTATTTGCAGTATAATGAATAGCTGGAAAAACAAACAAACAAAAAAACAACAACAACAACAAAACCTTAATGACAGTTAATTTGTTTTCATTAACATTATGGTAATCAATTATCCTTCCCAGAAGACAGAAAAATATCTAACCTTCCTTTGTGCCAACAGTGTTAAAGTAACCAGCAGAGAAACCACCAGTAAATGCTCCATGGAAACGCTGATATCGTCCTTTTGCATCTTTAACAGTCTGTTCTTGAAGAGGAACTGGCTTTTTAATTCGTTCACCTACAATCAGATCAATCAGAAACCAAGACACAACACTGCATAAAAAATGGACTCTCCACTTGCTCTAGATGCCACTTCTTCCTTGCAATTAATAACTGGATCAAAGAGTAGCTACGCCGAAGCTGAAAGCATCAGCAGTTTACATTTATTCCCACCCTACTTTAAATGTTTGTATACGCTGTTGATGTACACTGCTAAAGAAAAAGCATGAAGTGTTCAGATAGAAATCCTAAATACTAATGAGTTCCAAAACCATTTTTTTTTTTGTGAAGGAACACTTTTAGTTGTTTAAGCATGCAAGACCCTTGACAGGATTTAATCCCTTAAATACTTGTCTTGAGAAATTACACTACATCACAAGTGTCCAAAACTGAAACCAAAGCTGTCAACTTTGACATAAACATTTGCACCTTTTTAACAGTATTTTTACGAATGAAGTTGTATATACTCAGGAGTCACAGATGTACAGAAGCCCTTGAATGATGCTGAGTCTGTCTCTTGAATATAAGTGCAGGACGTTCACAGTAGCCTAACTGCAAACGCTTGAGCTATGTATTTGAACTCCACTTTTTCCTGAGACCTGGGGAACGGACACAAAGAGAGGCCCCCAGCTCCAAACAGAACAGCGCCGGCACAAACCCCTGGGAACCCCAGGCCCGCAGCCGCATGCCGGCAGGCCGATGGAGCGCTGAAGACTCTGACATGCCCGTCGCGGGAAGCCTGCCTTCTGCTCCCTGACTCTTCCACCCCGTGGCCCCTTGCCCAGGGCCGGTGCCAGCACCCCTCTCGCAGGGCAGCCCCTGCGCCCCGCAGCAGCAGGAGATGGGGCGGCAGGCCTGCGCTGGGCCCACCCGCCACAGCTTCCCCGAACCGAAGGCCGTAAGAAGGCGGGCAGCAGCTCCGGGATGGACTGGACCGGACCGGACCGGGCCGGGCCTCCAGGACACCCCGGCCTCCTGCCAGCGCCCGCCGCCGCGCACGACGGAGGGGCCGAGGAGGAGCAGGCGATCTCCCTGGGGGTCCCTTACCCTCCTGCAGCGGCTGGAGCGCGCTCCCGTAGCTCACCAGGTCTTCCTCCTCACTGTCACCGGACTCCGCCATCTTGCCGCGACGGTGGCTGGCGCAGGACACAGCTGCGTCACGCCGGGCAGGCGGAGCGCCGCCGCCCGTGCTGAGGCGGGCCCGGCCCGGCCCGGCCCCCGGCGGCCGCCGAGCTGCGCCGCCGCCGCCCGCCCCGCTCAGCCCGACTTTGCGCCGCGCCGATCCGCGGCCGCGGGCCTGGCCGCGCAGCGCAGCGCGGCAGCAGAGACCCCTCCGGACCCCGTCGCGGGGGGCGTTTCCTGGGGGGAGCGGCGGCCAGAGCCTGCCCTGGCTGCGCGGGGCCGCTCCAGCGCCACCGGCGGCGGCAGAGGAGGTACCAAAGCCCGGCGCTTCCAGTGACTCCGGCCAGCCCTTTCGGCCCGGGGAACTCTGTGAAGAAACGTGGGAGGTGCTCCTGTGTGCTCCTCCAGATCCACGGTCCGAAACGTGGTTCGGTGTCTTTCGAAACGAATGACCCTAGAAAACGCCAAACGTCTGATTGTCGGCGGCCATTGGATCAGCCGTCTCGAAACTTCCAGTGCGCCCACTCGCAAACGCCTCGGGGCTAAGGGCTAGGCAAAGGACAGCAAAACCCGTAAAACAGATTTTATCTGAATCGAGGTGTAAAGCGAACCCTACCCTGAATCAATATGACCAAGGGAGGTGTGGATTTCATGGAATTACAGTCTTTAACATACATGGCAAAAGTTGGTTAACCATGTTGTTTTACGAGCTATTCAAAAAGAATGTGCATAGGAACTGGGGCAGAAGTCTCTGCACTCAAACCTTGACTAAAAGAGCTTTATTTCTCTATACATTTTCAGGTATCTGCACATCTTACGGGACTTTTGTACCATGAAGCAAACTTTTACTGAATATATTTTATACAAAGACCATGTAAGAATCAGTAAGTATTCACCGATAACTCCCAAGTGTTCAAAATCTGGATTTTATTTTTGTGGCTTTCCAGTGTTTTATATGAGAAACTCATATGTTGATTTTAATTAGTTTGATTTCTCAAGCTTATGTTTTACCTTAATACTCAGATTCGCCACAAGCACGCACAATATAGTATAAATTTTAAAAACAAACACCAAGCCACCACACGCCCAAACCCCACTTCATTTTGTGATGAAAATAGATTCCATCAACCCACAACTTGTAAGCAAGTGTCACCAGTTTCTTGAAATCCTTGAAAATAAATCAACATGGTCTTGAGAGATCACTGCCCTTAATAGATAAGAGTTCTGCACTTTCTGTGGCATATTCTCTAATCCAGTATTTGTGATTGTCTGTATACACAGAAGTGGTTTCTTTCAAAATGAAACTACCGAAGTTTCATGCGGTTTCAGGTTTCCATAGGAAATATTTACACGGTTCCATGCAAATACAGTACTCTGTTTCATTTAGGTTTCTAATTCACTTAATACAATAGAAGCCACAGACATTTACCTACAGACATTATCTTTTCTCATCATTACTACTTAGTAAGATGTTAGCTACAACATATAGTGGCAAAATGAGTTGTTAGCACCGTTGCTATTTCTCTTTGTTTAGAAAATAATTGTTCCTGAATAGTTAATTCTATGTGACTTTGATTTAACACACAGGCTTAAATAACACTTTTTCGCACGATGTTAACAGAAAATCTTTTGAGTGTCTTGTCCTTTATGTTCAAAGAGTTTGAGTAATCAAATTTTGAAGTGTTTCCTTTTTTTTTTTTTTTCCCTTTAAGGCTTTTATCAGATTAGAATTACTTTTGCATCCCAGTGGTATTTCCTTCTCTGTGGTAAACTCAGTCTCCTGTTTACAGTTGTTAAACCAGGTGACAATTGCTATTTGTATCTGTTAAACAAGACAGTAATTTCAGTGTCTTTTGATAATTGCAATGAAACTAAAATATTCATAGGTCTGCATAGCTTATGTTTAAATCAAATTTTTACCATCAGTTGGCTGGTGAAAGAAAAAAACAAAAAACAAAAGCAACTAAACAAACAAACAAACCCACAACATTTTTGAATGAAAGGTTAAATACTTGCCAGTACATAAAAGGCTGAAATTGAGCCCTTAAGCCATAAATGGACTTCAGGTTTAGTTTTCCAATACATTTTCAACATCTGTTTTAGAATTAGTGCATCAAGAAGGCCAATCATAGAAGTGTCTTCCTACATATTTTGTTATATTCTTTAAAACCAGTTCTTCAAATAGATAACTTCTTGTTGATTAGTTTTAAGTTTTGAAAGTCACTGGAACTTTAGACTAAAACCAGGTTAATCAGTATATAAAAGAAGGAAGCAAAAATCTGACTCATTTACAGGGGTGTTAAAAACGTGTTAAAGAAAAAATGAAAACGTAAGCACAGGAAGTATAGAAAACCAGTATTAAATACCATTTTATTTTTTAAAACACAGCAAAAAGAGACAAACAGCTTGATTTCACTTCTGCCTTATCTTGTGTTCAGTGGAAATATTTTTCCCAATACTCTTCCTGCTAACAGATGGCTACTCTATCAGTTGACAAAATGGACACATAAAGTACAGACCATGAGGCATTGTTTGAGCTTCTACAAAGTGCTAATTTTTTTTTTTTTTAATAATGAACAACAACAAAAGAGAGCTAATGAATATTGTCCTTAAGTACATAGATTTTTATCTATGGATCTCACCTAAAGGCAAGGCATTATCTGGGAAAAGTGGTGGTGATTTTACCCCTGTTTGGCCTTGCATTCTTAATTCAGACTGAAACTTCAGTGTCTTGTTTCCAATGTGATCTCACAGTAGAATAGACAAAGCACTATTAGCGGTTTGATAGTAAATGGTATTTCTTTTCAGTAAAGATAAAGCTGCAGTTAACACATGCCCCACACTGTTAATTTGAAAAAGCAGCCATGAAATGCTGCACATATAGCCAAACCCATCACGTCCATGCAAAGCCTTTTACTGAGTTTGTGTAACATTTTTATACTATTTTTGCTATCGCTCAGTGAACTTCTTTGTAAGGAAATACTCTACTGGCAGTTCTTACTTGCAGTTCCTGTCTGGTCACTTTTCAATTCATTTGCCATAAAATGCAGAAGAACTTCTTTTGTTCATGTGAACACCTTCCCATTCTTTACTCTCAAACTTTTCAACCTTGAAAATATCCTACATCTTGTAAGCTTTTAAGAGGCTCAAGGCAGATTCACATCACTATTGCCACTGTGCCCCCATGCGCTGTTTTTGCCATTCTTAATCTCTTTTTTTTCCCCCTGAATACATATTTGGAAAGAGTTGAGAATGGGGGGAAAAAAACCCCTCTACCTAAGATCCCTTTTCCTCTCTCCTGACCTAAAAGTTCCTCACAGCAGCCAGATACTTGCTTGTTAAGAACTGCAATCTTCAGAAAATAAGGATGATACTATCTTGGTGCAGCTGAATTCATCAACAGTAAAGCTACAAGCTGTCTCGTTTACTGATAAAAACTTGGTTTTCTGCTCAGAACAGAAGTTTGATATTCAAAGCCACCAACGATAGGAGAAATCTGTAACCGTGTGCCAGGTTCAGAAGTATCTACCTTGACAAACAGCAGGAGTTGATGCATACTTCTCCCTTCATACAGTATCACTCTTACGTGCTTTTGCTGATAAGCCTCTGTGTCTCTCAGGGACAGAAGCTGTCTTTGAGGCACTGGTTACCATCCTGTAGCTGCAAGGTCTGCAAAATCACAAAAAATAAACATTCTCTTTCCAGCAAGCAGCAGCTGCCCTTACTAAGCCAAAGTAGATTTCTATCTTAAGTATGTAACAGATATTGCAGCAGGAAATTAATTTCCCAAACTGAGACCATTTCCTAGTGGCCAAAGAGAAGACTAAAGATGGAATTTCATATATTCACATATTTTTTCAAGATGGGGGAGGGGGATTGACTGAGCAAGTGGAGTGATAAAAACAGAACAGAAGTATAGAACATAGTGTGCACATGTACCTATAAATCACATATACTATTGTGTTTCTGTGGTAAGGCTGTCCAAATTCCAGTCCCTCTTAACTTTGCTGTTGTGGAACAAAATCTGGGACAACTCAAACTCTACCATTCTATGGCTGTTTTCAGCGTGGTCATTGTTTGGATCACCCAGCTGCTTTATCTGTGAAGATGCACAAAGCCAGATAGCACTGAGTTCTGTAAAACAAAGAGATTTGCATTGTTTTAATTGCAATACATTAGGCACAACATACTGATCTTCTTTGGATGCAAATTCTTAAGCACTTGATGCTTTCTCAGAGATAGTGCTACTGCTACCTGCAGTGCAACAGCTCACTCAATTTAATATTAAAAATACATAACAACTAAACATCTGAATCTATACACCCCTTTTTCTGAGTGCATGTGTCCCAGATTTTTATTATTCAATCTTTACAAGGCAGCAAACCAAACCTGATTCGTGTGAAACTGAGAAAGACTGCAGTAAGAACCCACCTCTATTTTGGATTCTAATAGCAACCAAAAAGCTACGGGAGACAAAGTGTTTAAGGAACTGGTGAGAAGAGCAGGGACATGTTTTTTTCGAGGGTAAATCAGGTTTTGAAATGTTCTAAACTGCAGTTTACATTCCAGGGTCAGAGAACGCTCCTACCCGGTCATTACACAGCTCAGCCCTAGCTATTGAGACCATAAAAACAACATGCGCCTTTTGCAAAGAAGCATATTCCCCACATGCAGACAAAACTCTCAGTGGCTTACTTAAGAAATATGATGTCAGTCCTAATGCAGTCATGATGAAGTGAGGAGAAGGCAGGGATAGGCACAGTCTAATCTGGCTGTTGTGAGAGTGTTGGGTGATATACCCAGGACACTAAAGATGGAGGAGGAAGCCTGTAAGAGGTATCTTGGACTCTCCTGAATTTGCTGTAGAAATTCACTGTGTGTAGCACTGCTGACTTTGTTTTATTCAAATAATGCACCAGCAATGAAGAAAGGCTGCATTTTGTCACCATGATATGTTAGAAGTTATTTTTGGCACTGTACTGTGCAGAAACTTGTTCAAATTTGTGTTTTACACATAACCATGATAATAGCCACTCGTCCAGTTGTTAACTGTCTGACCCTTTGTCCTGGCTACAGGCTCACAGGTCTTTAATTGGAGTAATAGCTGTAGCCTTTTAATGAGATCAGTTTTCAATAAATCCAGTGAAAACAGCACAAACTCCCAAGATGGTCACATTAATACCATTTTAATTGCCAAATTCTATCAGCATGGCCTATGCTGGCAAATTGCAAATTTATCTCTCATTTAGATTAATTTAAACTATGTATTGCATTGGAGTTTTACACTGATCTTGCAAGATTTAAATTTTAAAATCCTTTTTAATTTGGCAGGTAAGTACATTTACTAACATCATAAAAAAGAAAACATTTTTTACACCCCCTCAATAGAAGTTGGAGCAAGTTAAACTACTTTCCCACTTTTACCTATTTTTATTCCTATTCTATTTACCTATTTCTATCCATATAGATGGATACATTCATCCAGTATCTTTAGAATTATTGAAAAAAAGGAAAAAGTACTGGGGTGATAGAGTGAACAAAATCAGAAAGCAAAATTCAGCTGACCAAGAGAGACAGCAGATCTTTGGATCTGAATTTCTCAGTTGCTGACTTCTTCCTTAAAAACAGGCAGTAGACACACAGTTTAACTGGACTGCTGCATAACTCTCTGGAGATACTGTTGTTTTCAAAGAAAGTTTCAGTTAAGGGTGTAATTCCAAAGATATTTTTCCTTTGATAAAGAAACGTTGTCTCTGCAGATTTTTTCCTTACACAACTACACCTTACTTCTAAGAAAGATGAAAAGAGGAGGGAGGGGGTAGAAGACAAGTTTGGTAATATTGATCTAAGTATTTTGCTGTATTGCATCTTTAAGTGCTAAATGCCCACCTCAATCTGTACATTAAGTCTGGCTAGTAATCGGATCCAATATTGGCAATTTCCATACATAAACGTCCAGTAACAACATTTGTGAAAACGGTTACACAATGGAGTATTTCGAAGACGAGGTTTTTTGTGCGAACACTGCAGATTTTTGCGATGCTGAGGTTGATCCCACAGCAGTTTCCCGGAGCCGGGGCCAGCCCTGCCTTTCCCCGATACTGTTGCCCTTATCAGGGGCCAGAGGCAGCGCCCCGCCGGCTCCCGGGGCTCCGGGCTCCTGCCCTCCCCCCGGTGCGGGTGCGGGAGCTGGGGCCGGGGGAGCGGCCAGGCCTGCGAGCCGTGCCGGCAGGGCCACACGCTCCCAAAGCCCATCGCGGGCCCTGGCAGCTGTCCCCGGCAAACGCTCCCCGCTGCCGGGGCACCCCCAGGTTTGGGGGGCACCCTTCGGAGGAGTGAGCCGGCGCTGACCGACGGCCAGTCGCGGGAAACCTTATCCCCCCGGAGGCAGGCACCAGGCCCGGGGAAAGCTGGCGGCGGCCCCGCGGTATCGGGGGGCCCGGCCCGGCCCGGCCCGGCCACTCCCGGGGGGCGGCGGCAAGGGGAGGCCGCGGGGCAGCGGCAAGAGGCGAGCGGTCCCTCCGGGGCGGCCAGCCAGCCTCCGCCACGCTGCAGCCGAGCCCAGCCGGAGGAGCGGGCCGGGCCGGGCCGAGCCGAGCCGCTTCCAGGCAGCGACAGCGACAGCCACCGCCCGGCCCGGCACGAGGGGCACCTCGCCACGCCGGGGGCTGCCGGGCTCCCACGGGGAGCGGCGTGGGGGCCACCCAGTAGCGCGGCCAGGGCGGCGGAGGGGCAGGGCGGTGGGGCGGGGCAGCTCCTCCCCGCCACCGCCGGAGGTGGAGCCGGGCGCTGCCGTGGGGCAGCGGCCACATTTCCCGCAGGGTCGCGGCTCCCCGCAGCAGCGCTCGGCCGGCAGCAGCAGCAGCAGCGGCGGGGGGACGGCTGGCTCGCCCGGAGATGACAGACGCCCTGCCGCCCCGCGGCTGCCCGGCGGCGGAGCCGGCGGAGGACGGCTACTTTCGGAAGGTGGGAGGTGCGGCGGACGGCTCGGGGGCGGTGGGCTCCGTGTGCCCGGGGGGCGGTGGGCTCCGTGCCCGGGGGGCCGTGTGCTCGGGGCAGCCCCCGCCGCGCTCCCCTCACCGCCACCCGCGTCGTGAGCTCCGTCCTTCGGCAGCCCACGGCGGGGAGGGGAAGGCGGCGAAATGGGCAGCTCGGTTCTGGCTGAACGCGTCTGCCGGGCCAGGGCAGGGGCGGGCGCGGAGCCGGGCTCCGGGGTGCGCGGGCGGCGGTGCGGGCGGCGGGCTCCGCTCCGCGGGGACCCGGGCGGCTGCGCGATCCTCCCGCTGCCCCTGGGCAAGGCTTCGCCTTGCAGGACGGGAGCACTCATACCTCTACAAAATGAGTGAAATCCCACCTTCTTTTTTTTCTTTTTTTTTTTTTTTTTTAAATTTTTTTTCCTGCGCTCTTTCCTGTTCGCTCCTGACTGCGTCCTCTCGTTCGCTCTCGAGTAAGTTGCCTTCTGTACCTGTAAGAAAGTTTACTGGAGTAAGGCAATGAAGTTAACAGACTTGTTAGGAAGTTTTTAATGAACATCTGCCCTAATTACTTTTCAGACTGAGTAGGCGGCTTTTGCCATAACCTGCACCTGAGTTCTTTCTGCACAACAGTAATTATAGTTAAGTATTGCCTGTAATGCAGCCCTGTGGGCTTCTGTGAACTTCACTGGAGGTAAAGGGCACTAAGGGCCGTTTTCGGGGAGCTTTGATTCAGCCTTCCTTCGCTGTTTTTAAGTTCTCCGCACCTGTAACTTTTCTTGATGGGCTCCAAATAGGGCTGTAGGTACACGGTGTAGATTCTAGATCCGAGACCATAAAGTGTTTATTCTGTGGGGAAAAAAAAAAAAAAGCCTCAAACATCTGTTTGTTGCTGCTCACGTCTGCACAAAAAATATCCCTAGGATGCACTTCAGCTACCACCTGGATTACACGGTAGGGAGGAACATAGGCTTTGCTCTGTTGCCTTCTTTACAGGCTGCTTGGGTTTTTTTGCCTCCAGTAGTCACCGAATTCATAAGACTACAGGAACTTAAGCAACAATATTGCCCTTTAGCAGAGGAACTGTTTGTACCTGAAAAGAGCAAAGTTTTACCTGTGCCAGCCATGCTGCAAGGAATCGGTACTGCCGTATACATGACTAGACAGATTGAAATAAAACTTTGACCAAATCTTGTCTGGTTTCTTCACTGAGTAATCCTATCATATTTGGTGAGTAATCACTTCTTTCTTAGTAGTCTATAGCAGGAAATCACAAAGTGTGGCAAAGTTGTAATTACTTAGCGTTTTCACAGCTATGTTTTCTATATTGTGGGATGCTCGTAGGCTGCCTTGAGGCATGTTAGTAAAAAAGTTGACTTTACATGAGCTTGTCAAGTTTGTTAAGTTACATAAATCAACTCTTCCACCTATTTGTTTTTACTGATGGGGATTAACTGAAGTTTAATAGCCAAGTTGTGCTTCATAAATCCTAAGAGGAGTACAGCTTCTGCATTTTCAATTAAATTAATGTCTTTATTTTCAATTAAGTTTTTGTATGTTAGGGTTAAGTTCACTGAAACGGTATTGGATCAGTGTAAACCCCATATCCTGCACAGGAATAAAGTTTTTCTCATACATGAAAATAATGTGAGATCAATTTTATACCTAATCATGAGCATCTTTCCCACTTTCAAATTACTTAGGTCTTAAAGCAATAGAAAATAGATATGAATCTGATATTAAATCTGGGTGAGCCAGTGTTGCAGTGGAACATTCTTCTCTGTTCACTCAGACCTTTGAAAGGTTCATCCAGCTCATAAGTGTCTTTTAATAAAGATCAGGCTAGATGCTCAAAGCCTTCTGTCCCTTAAAAATTAGATGTAAGCAGGAAACCAGAATTCCTTATTATACATTAATTGAATTGTCTCAAGGATCGGAGCTTTCATTCTGACTCAGTAGTTCTAGGAGAAGAGAGGAGGCAAAAAAAAACCAAACAAACAAACAAACAAACAAAAAAAAAAACAAAAAAACCCAAACAAACAAAAAACAAACCAAAAATCAAAACAATCCCACTTATGAAATCTTGAAGGGATACTAGCTGTGAACCCAAGGAAATACTTTGGACATAGTATCTTTAGGCCTTACCTGTTCATCTGAATGCTGTGCTAGGTGATACCATGTAGCTGACACTAGTGATTGAGCTGTTCAAGTGTGTCCATGGGTCTTCCCCCCACACCCTGAATTCCTTTGTATTTCTTTCCCCTATCTTTTTAGATCATTTTAGACCACACCACTTTCTGTTTTCCTGAAAGAATTTGAGGGTTAGTTTATCAGTTTTGTTGGTGCAGAATCGCATCAATTTCCAAGGCTAGTCCTTGTGTCTTTAGATCAAAAGGCATTTATTTAATTGACTTTTTTATTCTATTAGCTGTGGAGCAAGGTGAAAACACTTTCTTTGTTTCAGTCTCCTCACAAAAGGGCTTCCAAGCGCTATTTACATGATGAGGTTGCCTTCCATACTTTGCAAAAATATTGTGCACAATGACATTTTATAATTGAAAAAAAATGAGTAGTTCCTACACTATCCATTTGTTTTAGACTCTTGATATTTTCTTTTGATGAATGGATTACTGTATACTGTAGGAAGTGTGCTCAAAGTCTGTATAGTGCCCTTTTGTGTATTATGCTTTTTGAAGTCTTAAATACAGCATACCAGGAAACAACCACCAGTATCCCCAAGATGCAATACGTAAAACAACTTATTTACTTAATTCTTGTGTTGTGCTTTTTTTTTTTTCTCCTCCTGTAGGAAAGAGGACCTGTAAAAACTATGACTGGCTCTATGTAAAGGGTCATGATCAGAAATGGAGAAACACATGCACAACCCTGTTTCCTGCTTTGACTTCTGTTGACACATTGGAAAGTTAGGCTTGCTGTGACACTGCCAGGTGAGTCTGAGATGTGATGGGTGGCAGCTACCACAGTCCATTTACATCACTCCTCAGACTCCCTCTCTCCATTCCCTTCCAGTGATGTCAGTGCTGCTCTGTAGGCACCTTTTCCTCTTTTCCTTACCCCACGTCTGTCCATTATCTCCCTTTTCCCTATGACAAAGGCCTCTCATATCTATATAGGCAAAATTAAGTTTTCCTTAAACCTATAAGATGCTTTGAGCTAACTCAAGTGCCTTTTTTTTTTTTTTTTTTAAATATCTAGTTTTAAGGAAATTACCTGTGCAGTCATATAGGGTATATGCACAACTCTGTCAATGATGCCTCTATTCCTTTCCCCTTATGTCTCCCCTCCAAAACAACCCCTTTAAGCACTTGATTAGCTGCAGCCAAACTTGTGAGAAGGATTTTAGTTTTAAAAACAAAACAAACAACAACAAAATCCTTGCTGGTGTCCTAAAGAGAATATGGCAAAGTAGAAAAAGCGCCTTACTTTCCATCAAAAAGAAGATGGAGCTTTTGTCTAGAACTTTTTTCTTTCTGGGAGGGTAACACACCAGGGAACTAGTTCTGCTACTGTTTTGTTTATCTCAACCATCACATGCCGATAGCTTAGTTCAGTATATTCTATGGTACATTGCCAAGGTAAACTGTACCTGTACTCCTGGGTGGTGTGAGTGCTCTTGGACTGTCAGCCTTGTACCTTGACCTCCTCTGTACGGAGTTCCACATTCTTTCACCATTACTGGCAGCAACCTGTGAATCAGCCATGCATATCCTGCACACCCATCCAAATTCTGCTCCCAGTCTTTCTTCCCTATGAAAGTGTCTGTGGTCAGCAGAAAATAATGACAAAACTAATGATAAGAGCAAAGAACAATTCGTTTTAAAAGTAGAGCAAGGCATTTAAACAGGAAGATTTTTCAACAGACTGATAGTAATTAAAGCAAATATGTCCTCGTGTGCCACTTGGCTTATGCAAAATGCTTCTTCCACTGCTGGGTGTCGTTATTCTTTAAGCCTGTCATGGTTCTGTGGATTGCTTGGCTTCTTGGACCTCTTCCTATATTCTTAGTTACTTTTGCATTCTTGTAGGAGAAACAGTTCTCTTTTTCAAGCTGTTTTCACCTTTTTTTTTTTTTTTTTTTTTTTAACTTTTTTCATTACAGCATACCACTTAACCAACTTAACCAATAAGTTTCCACAAAGTATGTCTAAAACAGGTCAATATACAGAACTCAGGATATCTATAAAGTAGTACTCATCCAGTCATGGGATCTAATGCTTGCATGGTGATCTATTAGTAGGGTTATGCCTACCCTGTTGTTTGTTGTGTTGTGGGGTTTTGTTTTGGCTTTTGTTTGGTTTTGGGTGGGTAGGAGCAGCGCAAGGAAGAGATATCTAGCAAGTTCTTTCTACTATATATTTCCCATTTGATTTACTGCTTTGTAACACCTTATGCAGACTGTAACTTTAAAAATTCCTTAATCAGTCAGGAAGTTGCAATACACTATAAGAAAATGCCATAGTTCATTTTCCAAGGTTACCCCTTCTGTAGCTCTCCAAGCACCTGCTTGTACAGCACTAAGCACGCTGTCTTCAATTTAGTTGTTTTGGATAGCAGTCCATTGTGCTACACAGAGGCAGAGCAGTAGGACAGCTAGCTTAATGAATCTTTAGATTCTGATCAGTTTAATGAAGATGCTTGCTTTCTCTTCCCTTTTGTAAAGCTTTGGTTCCATCTGTGAGGCTATATATTTATCATATAGACTAAGCTGATGATTCAGAAAGAAAGACAGTATATATTAGTCCTCCATACCAGGGGAAAAGGCTAAAACCAGAAAACCAGCAGTTCCATAAATGAAGCACCAGACTGAAAATCATGATAGGTGTGATAACCAGCTCATGAATCAGCACTTTCCTAATTTACTCTTTCTCTCTCTCCTTCCCCTCCTTTGCTTTTGGGGTTTCTTCTACAGGGCTTCCCCCCAACTGTGATTAAGGTATCAGTTTACCAACCTGCTACACCTGTGCTTCCACTGGGATTTACCTCATGTAGTTCCTTTTAGTCATTAGTAGCTAGGCAACCATCAACATTAGCATTGACACAGGAATATTTATTGGCCTGTTTGTTCTCTTTCCACTGCTCTGGCCGGACAGAAACAATGTCAATGTTGATATGATTCATACCCCTGACATGCCATATTCACTCATTATATAAAAATTAATAAAGCCTAAAACTGAAAGTAGGCCTTCATGTGAGACTGAGAATCATCTGAGACTTGGTTAGTCAAGAGACAGGTATCTCTGATGAAATATTAATTTTCATTTTGCTTAGTGGGTGGTGTGGCAAGATGTGGTATTATATAGGAAATGCATATTTGGAATTTAATACAATAATTATTTCTAAATATTTATATTAATTTGTGGGGCCAGGCACTTAGAACTGTAAAATACTTTTAATGGCATATGTAGACCAGGCTCTGGAAGACCAGATCTTCCTCCTCCCTCTCTCCCCTTTTATTTTTTTTAAAAAACTCAAATAAAACTTCTACTATTGAAAGACTTGCAGCATATAGCTAAAATTTCAAAATTGAACTAGTAGAAACATGTAAAGAGAAACTTTAATTATAGTAGTGGAAGAAGGTAAGGAAATAAACATAATAATTTAGCAGGACACAGGATTTGTTCTAGTAATACTGCCATGAATCATGCTGTTTACTACAATTGCTGTTACATCCAAAGAAGTTATGTGCATAAGTTAAATTACATACACGTTTAAATATCTGGAGGATATGTCCATTTGCGTACACTACTGGGCTTGACAAGCAGCACAGGTTGCACTGGCTAGAAAGGAATGTTTTATTTTAAGTAAGAAGGCACACCCAGTTTCAACTCTGTGTCACCTTCAGACTGTGTGGCTCATTTTAAAAGTTCAAACTACTACTTCATAAATCATATTTATGTTAATCTCAAATGCTTACTGTGATTGCTCATTGTCTGGCGAACAGTCATGATTTTTGCATCCATCACAACTGGATTTCTGATATTAAAAAAATACTTACGTTTTGAAGAAAGAACTGCCTGCCTGCCATCCAAATTAAATATAATAGCTTCCTTATTTGGGACCCATATTTTTGACAGCTATCTTCCATCTGTGGTAGGTAATTTCTCAAGGCCTAGAACATAAACTTGGAAAACCACAAGGATACTGCCTATGCTCCTTAGGCTGGGGAATTTTAAGGCTCCTTCAGATGGGAGGTAGGCACTGGTGCCTTGTACAGAGTCAAGCTACTGTCCATCCATAGTTAACCTGACTACAGGCTTGCCTAGCTGCCTTCTCTGCCCTGATGTGATCTCTCCAAAATCCCCTGTGAGTCGAGAACAGTCAGTCAGCGACTAACTAGCTCTGCTTGAGCTGCTGCTGCTGAGCTGGCTGTACCTGGTCTGACAGAGACAGCCTTACACTGAGATCCCACATGCATTCATAATACAACTGTTTGCCAAATAAGTGTGTGTGGGGATAATGTTTATAAACTTAAAAATAAAACCCAGTGGGATATCCTGCCACCTAAGGTCAGGCATCAATTCTAACAAGAGATGAGCTGCAATCCCATTGGAATCACTCTGCAGGCCTTGTTAATGAGTCAGGATTGCTATCAAACATGCAGGCCCTGCACAGGCCAGCCTTCGTCAGGAGGTGCGTGTTTATTTGTCTAACATCAGTGTCTGTTTCTTTCAAGATGTTACTTGAATATGTATGTAAGTAACATATGGCAAGAATCTGTAACTTGTGCAGGTCTTGTCTCTCATAACGATATATTAAGAATTTATTGGCTTTCTGATTCTGCAGTTCAACAATGTTATTCAGCCAAGCAGGAAGAAATAAAGTAACTAGCTAACTGAACTTTAGATTTTAAAATGTTTTTATTGTTCATGAGCTAAGGATAATAATGTTTAAACACTTTAAACGCTTCTTTATGAAGTGCAGCTATACTCTGAAGTGAAAAAGGCTCTAAAACTGATAGCTGAGTTTACTATTTGAATTGTCTTCACAGCAAAGCTACTTAATTTACTTGTATTTTTTTTTTCCCCCAAAAAAATGCATGCAATGAAAGCTTAAATCATACTCCATTCTTGGTCATTTTTGCAACTTCCTTAGTAATAACTATTCTTTTGTTGCTATTAATAATTTTACTGCTAATATATAAACCAGGGTAAAATCCACTTCACTCTCCTGAGTTGGCTTGGCTTGGCAAAGAAATAAACAGTAATTAAATGAAGCATCTAGCATCCTGTTGATGAGAAATGAAACAGTAGGTGTGGAAACCACTGGGAAGTTTGGCTGCCAGAT